CATTTTATTTTTTCACGTGTCTTGCCATAGATCTCTTTGGGTTTTATCCTATTTGGGGTTCTCACAGCTTCTTGAGCCTGTAGGTTTATGTCTCTTGCCAAATCTGGGAAGCTTTCAGCCATTTACTTCTTTGAGTATGTTTTCAGCCTTGTCCTCTTTCTCTTCCCCTTCCAGACATAGATAACAACATGAAAGTGAGACCTTTTGCGGTAGTTTCACAGGTCCCTGAGGTTCTGTTCACTTTCTCCCACCATCTATTTTTTTTTGCCTGTTAAGATTGTGCAATTTCTATTTTTTTTCATCTGTAGTGTATGGATTTCTTTGCTCTGCACCATCCATTCTGCTGCTGAGCCTATCTGCTGGAATTTTTTATTTCAGCTGTTGTATTTTTACTTCTAATACGTCTATTTGGTTCTCCTTTATGTCTTGCATTTATTTGCTAAGTCTTTCTACTCATCCATTTGTTTCAAGTGTGCTCGTAATTACTCATTAAATCATTTTCATCAGGCTTGCTTGCTTTAAAGTCTTTATCAGACAATCCCAATACTTCTCTCATCTCATTACCAGTGTGTATTGGCTGTCTGTTTTCATTCAGTATGAGATTTTCCTAGTTCTTGGTATGATGAATGATTTTCAATTGAAACTTGGACTTTTGGGTATTATCAGAGTTTTGATTTTATTGAAACCTTCTGTTTTAACTTCTTTTTTTTTTGAGTCTGTTTCTGCAGGGGAAGGGGAGTGCTGCCATCTCATTGTAGCCAGATGTGTGTAGAAATCCCAGTTTCTCACCTGGTGGACCTCTGTTGACACCCTGAGTGGAGGAGCTGCTAAGGTAGGAGAGGGAGTTCCAGCAGCCCACTCCTCCTCCACTGCTACCTCCCTGGCTGGGTGGGTAGGAGTGCTCTATTACTGCTTTCCATGTGGCCACAAGTGACACCACAGGACACGGGCGGCTTGTTACTGCTGGGTGGTGATGAAAGTCCTGACTCTCCACTAGGACTTCTCTGACACCAGCCTAGCAGACAGAGGAAGAGGTGCCTCATGACCACCTAATGAAGTCTAGGCTCCAAATGTAGTTTCTACTGACAGGGAGGTAAACATATTGTCACTTGGCAGGGATGATGATGACAGCTCCAGCTTCCTTCTCTAACATCTGTCATTGAAATTGTTTTTCCCCTCTAGGTAAGATGTCATCTTTCTCTGTTGCTTTTGAGATATTTTCTATGCCTTTAGTTTCCAGCATTTTAGTCATTGTGTGTCTCATGATAAATAAAATGCTGGAACCTAAAGAACCCCGGGCAAGGTGGGGGTTTAGGGTATGTCATTATACCTGTGCAAGTGTGAAACCCAAAGCCCCTCACTGGGATTTTGCTGGCTTTTATGTTGATGCAGCCACAGCTTTTTTTCCATGGTGCTTGACCTGAAGAAACGGATGATCATATGTAAGAGTCTTGTCTTGCTAGACTGCCCCTTTGCTGATCCTTTGCCTAGAGAGAGCAGGATTGTATTGGGGGTTGTTGGATCTGTAGCCATTGGTATTTCTGGGTTGCCATCTCCTTTGACTCTACATCTAGGATGTATGGGGGGGCCATGGAGGAATCCTGGGAACTCATCTCCTGGCTTTCTGTGGGTCTTGAGGAAGCCAGATGGCCTCCTATCTTCTCTTCGACCTTCAGTCTTCCTATGTTTGTTTTATATACAATGCCCAAGGTTTTTAGATGTAATGAGCAGGAAGAATAGGGCAACGTTCATCTATTCCACCTTCCCAGTGTATGCCTTTGATATCCTTGTCTTACCTTATTGATTTGGGTAGGATAGTCATGGGAGATATCAGTGGTGAGCATGGTCTTCTTTGCTTAGTTCCCAGTCCTAGAGGAAAAGCATGCAGTCTTTCACTTGAGGTAGGATGTTAACTGTGAATTTTTTGTACGTGGTCTTTATCGAGCTGACGAAGTCCTGTATTCCTATGTTTCTGATAGTTGTAAAACATTTTCTTTCTTCCCCTCTTTCTTTTCTTCTTTCTATTTTTCTTATTTCTTTTTTTGTTTGCTTTGTTTTTCTGAGACGGAGTCTTGCTCTGTCACCCAGGTTGGAGTGCAGTGGCGTGATCTCGGTTCACTGCAACTTATACCTCCTGGGTTCAAGCAGTTCTCTGCTTCAGCCTCTGAGTAGCTGGGATAACAGGCGCCTGCCACCACACCCAGCTAATTTTTGTATTGTTAGTAGAGACGGGGTTTCACCATGTTGGCTAGGCTGGTCTCAAACTATTAACCCCAGGTGATCCGCCCACCTTGGCCTCCCAAAGTTCTGTGATCACAGGCATGAGCCAAAGCGCCTGGCCTCCCTTCTTTATTTCCATCATGAATAGATGTTGAATTTGTCAAATTATTTTTCTTCATTGACTGATACATTTTTCTGTGGTCTGGTTTTGGAGCTGGGGTAATCATAGCTTCATAGAAATAGTTGAGAGGTGTTCCTTCATCTTCTGTTTTCTGGAAGAGATTGTATAGAATTGATGTTAATTTGGCCAGGCACGGTCAAATTAACTGCACTCTAGCCTAGGAGAGAGAGCAAGACTCCGCCTAAAAAAAAAAAAAAAAAAAAAAAAAAAGAATTGATGTTAATTTTTCTTCAACCATTTGTTAGAATTCTCCAGTGAAACCATCTGGACCTGGAGCTTTCTTTTCTGGAAATTTTAAAATAAGGAATCCAATTATTTTCATAGTTACAGAGCTACTCAGATGACCTATTTTGCTTTAGCTGATATTTATGACAGATTTGTCCAATTCATCTGGGTTGTCAAATACATGTGTGTACAGAATTTTAAATAGTTTTTCCCTTATTATTATCCCTTTGATATCTGCAGAGTCTGTATGAGTGTAGTCCCTGTTTCGTCCTGATGTTTATAAGTTGTGACTTCTCTTTTTCTTTGTCAAGTTTATTGATTTTTTTAAAGAGACAGCTTTATTTTCACTGGTTTCCCCTTTCGTTTTTTTCTGTTTTCAACGCCATTGATTTCTGCTATTATCTTTATTATTTCCTTCCATTTGCTTTAGGTTTTTTTTTTTTTTTTTTTAGATTCAGTCTCATTCCTATGGTGAGGCTGGAGTGCAGTGGTGTGATCTCAGCTCACTGCAACCGCCACCTCCCGGGTTCAAGCGATTCTCCTTACCCAGCCTCCCGAATAGCTGGGATTACAGGTGGGTGCTACCACACCCAGCTAATTTTTTTGTAGAGACAGGGTTTTGCCTTGTTAGCCAGGCTGGTCTCGAACTCCTCACCTCAGGTGATCCACCCACCTTGGCCTCCCAAAGTGCTTGTATTACAGGCATGAGCCACCGAGCCCGGCCTGCTTTAGGTTTCTTTTGCTTGCCTTTTTCTTGTTTCTTGAGGGGGGAACTTAAGAAGAATGAATATTCGAGACATCCCCTCTTTTCTTTTATCCCTTTTTAAAACTTTTGTATGTAATTATTGTAGGAAGTTAGGGTTGGGCCTGCAGACTATGGAAGGACAGAATATACTAGGCCGCTGCTTTAATAGCCGGTGACTGCTTGTCGCCCACCCTCTCTCCCCCACCTTAGCTGCCTTGTCCGAACCAAAGAGTTTAGTCTAGAATGAACATTTACTAGCCTGCAAAATAGTTCACTACGTCTATTCTTATCAGCTTGCCTGACTGCCTAGGTGGTAAGTCAAATACTTGAAAAGCCCCTGAGCTGACCATGATTGCAATGCATTATGGAATACAACAAAATGCAGGGAGACAACCCTAAAAACAAAACAAAACAAAACAAAACAAAAAAATCCTAAAAGTCTCAACCCAAGATCCAATAGGCGACATCGGAATATTTTGACCCCATAGTGCTCAGCCTCTGAGGAACCGGGCGAGGCACTTGCACACTAGGGGATAAATTGCTTGTTGTAAGCGTACTGGGTGTGTCTGCCTCCCAGACACCCGATCTTGCAAGACTGTCATTAAAAGTCTCACTTCTGCTGTTTTCTGGGTCTCTGAGTCCATTCTTTGGGTTCGGACGGGTGAGTTTATTTCTCACAATTATTTCTAGGCAGGCCTTGTGTAGTGGGTGGCTCATGCTTGTAATCCCAGCACTTTGGTAGGTTGAGGCTGGAGGATCATCTGAGGTCAGGAGTTCGAGACCAGCCTGGCTAACATGGTGAAACCCTGTCTCTACTAAAAATACAAAAATTAGCCGAGCACGGTGGCGCGGGCCTGTAGTCCCAGCTACTCGGGAGGCTGAGACAGGAGAATCACTTGAACCCAAGAGGCGGAGGTTGCAGTGAGCCGAGATTGCGCCACGGCACTCCAGCCTGGATGACAGTGCAAGACTCCGTTTCAAAATAATACTACTACTAATAATGATGATGATGATGATGATGGCATGACCTAAAGTTATGCAAACATTTGCCTTACATAAAATTTCAAGTTTTCAAAGTTGTTAGCTGGGTGGACCGCATGGCTTTACTTCCTATTTCTTGGTATTTCCTAATCTTGTTGAAAAAAAAGTTTTTCTTTTTCTCAAAGGCTTATTTCAGTGGAAGCCCATCTGCAAAATGTTATAAATTTAAATTATAAAATAACTACAAGTGCCATTGACACGTTGGTTGTTTTAGCAAGTGACCTAAGGCCACCTCTCGGATCAGCTGGGGGCTGCCTTCCAAGACTGCGCGTCTGCACCGCGTGCGGGGGCCTGGAAGTCACACTCGGGTGTAGAGAGGCAGCGCGAGGCCCGCAGTCCTAAGCGCGGGGTCGCCCCCGGCCCCCGAGGGAGTGTGTCTTCTGCCTCTTTAATCTGGCAGGGGCAGTTCAAGTGGCCGGGGAAATCAGTGGTTTGCAGGGTCAAGGGCTGGTGCTTTGAAAGAGAGGCGATTTCCCGGAGAGAGGGATTTCCCGGTCTCCGCTGCACTGGGTGCATCCCCTCGGTTACTCCTTTTCTTGGCCCGCGCGAATGCGTTGTGCGGTAGAGGCGGCAGAGTACCTTTAAGGCCCTCCTGCATCTGCGCCTGCGCCTTGGGCTCTCCTGCGCGCAGAGCAGGACCCTGAGGAGACAGCGGGCAGCTGGCTAGGGGCTGGGCGGCGGTTGAGACAGCGGCTGTATTGGGGGGTAGGTGACGGTCGCGAGGCTGCCTGAGCTTCTGAGTGAGCTCGGAGCTTTGGGGAACGCGTGAGGGGCGACCTGCGGCGCCAGGAGCTGGCAGAGGCGCGGCGGCGCGGCTGCAGTCTGGATGGGAAGTTACGGTTTACAGCGAAGTCCACCCAGCGTTTCCGAGGTGCGGGCGCCGCGCCTGGCCGGGCAGGCGGTGAGTCCGGGACCGCGGGTGCACAGCTGGGTCGAGCTGCGGCTGTCCCAAGTTTTGCTGCGAGCGGCGGCGGAGGCGCGGCGGGGGGGATGGGGAGGCGTGTGCTCCGGCGCCGCCGGGGCCTAAGTTCCCTGCGCTCGTTTCCTCGCCTGCCGCTGCCGCCCGCAGCCCACCTCTCGTGAGCGCCGGGGCAGAAACTCGCTAGTGGGTGTTCTGTGGCATCCCAGGGGGTGGAGGGACGGAGCAGCTTCGGGGGCATGTCCTCGTATATCCTGTGGAGGACAGTGACCCCGCATCCCACCCTTGAGGCCAGAAATCGGTTCCCTCTGGGGACCTGAGAGGCGAGAGCGCTCGCGTCCCTGACTTGCAAAGTTGGGGTCTTTAGTGGCCTCCGGGATTCTGCTCCTGGCGGTGTCTCTAGGCTGGTGATGGGCAAGCCAGGTGTGCCAGGTCCAGGATGCACGTGAGGAGCGTTTGTAGCCATCACTAAATCACCTCATGACTAGCGGGACAAGCCTCAAATTAACCACAGGATTTCCGGTAGGTTGGATTGTGGGGTTGGTGTTTGCACTCCAAAGAGTTGCTGTGATTTCCCTGTGTCTGTCTGTCTGTCTTTCTGGCTTCTTAGATCATCTCATTTGGCGTCCTTTCACGGAAGAGTTAACCAAGACGTTTGGCATGGTTTCCTTGCTTTCCTCCTATCTTTTGCTGCTAGAGCTGTTTTCCAAAGAAGTCTTTTCCTGCAGTGGTATCTTTTCTTTGGGTTCCAGTGTTGTTCATCCTTTCTTTGCCGAAAGAATGAATCCCAGTGCTTCAGAAAGTTAAAGAAAAGTGATCTGCTAATAGTGTTTTGCCTTTGTTCTGAGCTGATACGCGTTAGTAGTTTTCTTTCTGTTTTTAAATTTTATTAGTAAAATTTCAACAGTGAACCAGAAGCTCTTTTTTTCTTTTGTGAAATACTAGCTTTAAGATTTCTGAGAACTTTGTGTCAAAGGAATCTTTGAAAAGTTACTGAAGTATACAGAAGAGGTTCACAATTTTAAATGTGCAGGTGGTTCGGGCGCAGTAGATCACACCTGTAATCCCAGCACTTTGGGACGCCAAGGTGGGCGGATCACTTGAGCCCAGGATTTCTAGACCGGCCTGGGCAACGTGGCAAAACCCTATATCTACTAAAAATACAAAAGTTAGCTGTGTGTGGTGGTGTGTGCCTGTAGTCCCAGGTACCCGGTAGGCTGAGGTGGGAGGACCGCCAGAGCCAGAGCCTGGGAGGTTGAGGTTGCAGTGAGCGGTGATTATGGCAGTGCACTCTGGCCTGGATGGCAGAGTGAGACCCTGTCTCAAAAAAAAACCAAACAGGTAATGAATTTTTACCAAGTGTAGGTGTGGCATTGTTGGTTTTAGAGGTATATGAATGATAAAACTTTAGTATTACATATTGTTGAACGTTTTCCCAAAGTGGTTGTACCATTTAGCAGGGATATTCTGGTTACCCCACATCCTTGCCTGGCAGTTAAAAATTATTTTGTTATTCTAGTAGGGGAGCAGTAATATCAGCGTGGTTTCATTTTGCATTTTCCTGGTATTGAGATTGAGTATTTTCTATTTCCATTTATATGTCCTCTTTTGTGAAGTGCCTGTTAAATCTTTTTATCCAGTTTTCATTGATATGCTTGTTTTTCTGTTGATTTGTAATACTTTAATCTGGATATGTGTCCTTTCTAGGATGTATATGTATTGCATTTCCCTTTTTTAAATCTGTAGCTTGCTTTTTCACTCTTTTAATGGTGTTTATTCATGAATAGAGATTCTCTTAACTTTTTTTTTTTTTTCTTTTTGAGACAGGATCTCACTCTGTTGCCCAGGCTGGAGTGCAGTGGCGCAATCACAGCTCACCACAACCTTGACCTCCCAAGGCTCCTGCCTCAGCCCCCAAGTAGCTGGGACCTACAGGGGAGCACCACCACACTCAGAAGCTCTTTTTTTCTATTCTGAAATGCTAGCTTTAAGATTTCTGAGAACTTTGTGTCAAAGAGATCTTTGAAAAGTTACTGAAGTATACGCTCACCTCTTTTCTGTATTTTTAGTACAGATGGGGTTTTGCCACATTGCATAGGCTGGTCTGGAATTCCTGGGCTCAAGTGATACACCTGCCTTGGCCTCCCAAAGTGTTGGGATTACAGGCATGAGCCACTGCACCAGCCTGAGATTCTTAATTTTAATGAAATTATACTTTATCAATCTTTTCCTTTATGGTTACTGCTTTTTGTGTCCTGTTTAAGAAACCAATGCCTAACCTAAGAGTAGGAATACGTTTTTCTGTGTTAACCTTATAGCAATTTTATTTTAGTTTTTGCGTTTTTTTTTTTTTTTTTTTTTTTTTCAGACAGGGCCTCACTCTATTGCCCAGCCTACAGTGCGGTGGCAGGATCTCAGCTCACTGCAACCTCCACCTCCTGGTTCAAGCAATCCTCCCACCTCAGCCTCCTGAGTAGCTGCGACTATAGATGTGTGCCATCATGCCTGGCTAATTTTCATATTTTTTGTAGACATGGGGATTCAACATGTTTCCCAGGTTGGTCTCAACCTCTTGGGCTCAAGTAATCTTCCCGCTTCAGCCTCCCAGAGTGCTGGGATTACAGGCGTGAGCCACCCCATCCGGCTGTGATTTACTTTTTACTACATGGATGTGTCTGCTTTATCCAGCACCATTTGTTGAAAAGACCATCCTTTTCCTTCTGCACCGTGTGGCACTTTTTTTCATAAATCGAATGACCATATGGTCATCTGATTTATGAAATTAGCATGGGTCTGTTTCTGTTTCTAGACCAACCTGGGCAACATAGTGAGATCCCATCTCTACAAAAAATAAAAATAATAAATGAATAAAATTAAAAAAATAAGTATATAGAGCAGATGGAGTCATAGGTGATAATTTATAAATGATTGTCAGTTTCTTGGCTACATACAGGTGTTGGTAATTCAGATGTGTTGGGCGTTCAGGCAAAATGTATTAAGTGAATTATATGGTGTTCAGAATGATTGCTAGATGTTCTTTGTGACTTGAATTGGATGTTATTTGAGCCCCCACAGAGCTACAGTTTTGACTCTTTTATTTATTTGTCTTTTTAAAATTTTTACAATCTTCCTGTCAAGACAGTAACTCTTTTATACTTAATTGTTCTTAGGTATACTTAATTACCAGGAAAACTATGGATCATACCTAAATAAGTGTTAAGCCATTTAAAGGGCTGACGTGATGTGATGTGAGCAGTAGTATTCTACATAAGAGTTTTCGGACTACATCAAATAATTTTTTTTTTCTTGAGACAATGTCTCGCTCTGTTGCCCAGGCTAGAGTGCAGTAGTATGATCATGGCTCTCTGCAGCCTTGACCCCTCAGGCTCAAGCAGTCCTCCCACCTCAGCCTCCTTAGTAGCTGGGTCTATAGGCATGCACCACTGTGCCTGACTAATTTTCTATTTTTTGCAGACAGAGTTTTCCTGTGGTGCCCAGACTGGTTTCAAACTCCTGGGCTCAAATGATCCTCCACCTTGGCATTCCAAAGTGTTGGGATTACAGGCATGAGCCATCACCCCTGGCCATTTTAGTTTTAATAATTTTTATATTTTTTTATTTTAAAAGATTTACTAAAATCTCTTACACCTATTGTTTATGAATATAGTATTCATTGCTATTATGATTTTGTATGTGTTTAATCTCATTTTCAATATAAGCTCCTGGAAATTAGAGATTTTGTCTCTTTTATTCACTACTGTATTCTCAGTACTTGACCTTGCCTGGCATGAAACAGATATTGAATAAATATTTGTTAAATGAATGAATGAATGAACATATTAATACCATATTCAACAATCTCCAAGTATCACAGTTTTCACCATTTAACAAATAAAATAGCTGGTATAGAGCAGAGTCACAGTCAACCTGCCGTAAAAAGAAATGTCAGTGAAAAATAAACCTTTGTATGTGTAGCTGCTAAGATTTTGGGACTTTTGTTACTGTAGCATAACCTAGCCACAGCTCAGTGAGACAGTGTATAGAATATACGTGTGCAGATAGACCAGATAGACCAGTAGATGAGATTCCAAAGATAGTTCAATAAGCATTAACTAACTACATTCACACACTCTTAATTCCCTAACAAAGCATCAAATTCTTGTTCGCTAAGATCTGCCTCAAATATTAGTTACTTTGTGAAGTCTTCCCTGGCTACTCAAGTATTTTAGTCAGGACTCTATTTTTTCCCTCTGAGGCTGGAGTGCAGTGGTGCCATCATAGTTCACTAACCTAATTCAAGGCTCAAGGAATCCTCCTGCCTCAGCCTCCCGAGTAGCTGAGACTACAAGTGTGTGCCACCATGCTCAGCTAATTTTTCATTTTTTATTTTCAGAGACGGGGTCTTACTATGTTGCCCAGGCTGGTCAGGACTGTATGATTACATATGACAGAAACCCAACCAACTCTAGTTCCCCACCACCTTTCAACCTGCTCCTCCCTGGGTCTTCCCAGTCTCCATAAATGGCAGCTCCATCCTTCAAGTTTCCCAAGCCCCAAATCTCAGTGTTAACCTTGATTTCTCTCTTTTATCTCATAGGCAATCTGAAGACAAATGCTGTTTAGATGCAGGCGAAGGTTCCTGATGACCCAGGCTCTCACCAGCAGATTGTCCCTTACTGTCCTCCTGAGGGCGTCTGGAGCTTCAGTGCTGTGTGCTCTTGGCCTCCACACTGGGGATTCCACTGACTCCCACTGTCCAGGGCTTCCAGTGGACTCTCCGAGGCACTGATGTAGAAATGTCCCCATTCGGTGCACCAAGAGCAGCCTCACACGGTGTGGGCCGACAGGAAGAGCTGCCAGATCCAACAGGTAAAAGTCCCGACGCATTGCCAGCTCGATGGGGTGAGAGTCCTCTTTCTATTATGACTCAGATGTGAAGGGAAGATGCCAAGGTCCCTAAACATCACAGGGCCTTGCCTGGCATGAAACAGATATTAAATAAATAGTTGTTAAATGAACGAACAAATATTCACAGCGTGTGCCACCCACAACCTGCAGTGCCGTGGTCAGGTGGAAGTAATTTTACTTCGGGAGAGGACATTGTTCTCTTCAGGACTTTTCCTTAGTAGCTAGATCTGCATCCCTCTCCTCTCTCTTCCCCTTTCACCCCCCATTCTCTGTCCCCATTTCTCTCTCTGTATCCACCCTGCCATCCCCTTTCACCTGCCTTCTCCTCTTCAGCTCTCATGGCTCACCCCTCCCTGTCCACCCGCATCCCCCAGGCTAAGGCCGCCGCACTGTCCTGGGTGGGGAGATGTGTCTGGTTTTAGGCACTGCCCTCTAGATGTGTCCAGGGTGGGGAAACATGGCTCAGTTGCCAGTATAATGGGTTAAATTTGAAGGCCTTTCCCGTCTCCCATTCCAGAATCCTGTAGGACGTAGAATTTATGGGCCACAGTGGAATTCTTGGTTCCCAGGACCGTGTGGTGGACGCCTTCTTTCATGAGCATTCGTGGGGTGACTGTTAGGTACCAGGCTAGAGGCTAGAGGCCCCATAATGAGTAAATCTCTGGTCACTACCCCACGGAACCCACCACTGCAGGTATTGAGGGGGGAGAAAGAAAGGGGCATGGCCTGTTTGTGTCCTTCTCATGTGGCCGCCCACCAGGTCCTGGGACAGTAGGAGCCAGTGCAAGGAGAGAAGTCCAGTGAGAAAGGCAAATGGACGATGTCAGACCCAGGGACTGAGGCCCCCACCTGCAGCCGGGCAGCTTCTGGAGTGGACAAGGAGCAGCAGGAAAGGTCGTGGACTGGTGTTCTGGGGTCCACTGTCTCATTTCATTCTTGTGGGCACCAGAACTTATCCAAAGACAAGACTCAGTGTTTCTGGCAACAGTTGGCCAGAGACAGAATGTGTTTCAGAGGAGGAAGGGGTTGTACCCCATGGAAACAGTATATGGTTTTACAGTAGTATGTCTTTCTCTAATAACTAGTTAGCATGTTCCTGTTAATGGAAAATATTGGTGGTGTAAGTTCCCCTGGATGTTCTCATCTTCATGTAAATTTGTTCTCCTTCCTTCCTTCCTTCCTTCCTTCCTTCCTTCCTTCCTTCCTTCCCTCCCTCCCTCCCTCCCACTCTCTTTCTCTCTCTCTTCTTTCCCTCCCTCCTTCCCTCCCGCCCTCCCTCCCTTCCTTTCTTCCTCCTTTCCTCCCTCCCTGCCTTCCTCCCACCCTCCCTTCCTTTCTCCCTTCCTTCCTCCCTTCCTCCCTTGCTCCCTGCCTCCTCTCCTCCCTCCCTCCCTCCCTTCCTTCTTCCTTCCCTCCCTCCCTTCCTTCTTCCTTCCCTCCCTCCCTTCCTTCCTTCCTCCTTCCCTCCCTTCCTTCCTTCCTCCTTCCCTCCCTCCCTCCCTCCCTTCCTTCCTCCTTCCCTCCCTCCCTCCCTCCCTTCTTTCCTTTCTTCCTTTCTTTTCTTTTTCTTTTTCTTTCTCTCTCTCTTATGCTCTCTCATTTTGTTTCCTTTTCATTTTACTTTTTGGACCAGATCACACTGTACTGAAACCTACATTATTTACCAAAATCCCTGGAGTTGCTTCTGTCTTGCAGGTCCTGTAGCCGTTAGCTCCTCCCAGCCCCCTCCTCCTTTGATTTGTGGGTACCACTAGGGCAGCTGCTGAGTCTCAGTGGTTCCTAGTCTTCACCAAGTTCTGCCCACCCAGCTGGTTTGTACCTGTCCTTACCAGAAGCCTGCACTGTCTAGATAGCTGAGGCTGCTTCTACCTAACTGATCTGCTGTCTGTGTTCTGAGGGTACCCCAAGGTTAGAGGTAAATGGCACAGGCGTTGAAATCTCCCAACTGCTCCACTTCCAGGTGGGTGCACTTCAGTGCGAAGTACTAACCACACAATAGCAGGATGCCACCAAAACCTTGATATGGGGCTGCTGCATCCTCATTTAAAAAAATTAATAGACTTTATTTTTTAGAACAGTTCTAGGTTTACAGAAAAATGGAGTAGATAGTACAGAGAGTTTTAGGCTCCCCTGTCCTCCAGCACACAATTTCCCCTATTAGTATGTTGCATTAGTGTGGTCCATTTGTTATAACTGATGAACCACTGTTGATACATCATTATCACTTAATGTCCATAGTTTACATTAGAGTTCCTTCTTTGAGTTTCACAGATTATGGGTTTTGGCAATTACATAATGTCCTAAATCCCCAATACAGCATCATGCAAAATAGTTTCACTGCTGAAAATTCCCTGTGCTTCACCATTTCTTGCCTCCTCCTCTCCACCTCTGACAACCTCTCATCATTTTACTGCTTCTATCTTTTTGACTTTCCAAGAATGTCCTAGAGTTGGAATCCTGCAGTATGTAGGTTTCCAGACTGGCTTCTTTCTAGCATTATGTACTTAAAGTTCCTCCATGTGTTTTCATGGCTTGATTGCTTGTTTTTTAAAATCACTGAATCAGATTTCATTGTATGGCTACAACACAGTTTGTTTATTCATTCAGTTGGTGAAAGGCATCTTGGGTACTTCCAAGTTTTGACAATGATGATAAAATTGCTGTAAGTACTTATGTGCAGGATTTTGAGTGAACTTAAGTTTTCCAGAGTGACTGTACCCTTTTGATTTCTGCTAACTATGGAGAGTTCTGGTTGCTCCTCATCTTTGACAGCATTTGGTGTGTTCACCTTTTTGCATTTTAGCTGTTCTAATAGGTTTACAGTGATATCTCATTGTTGTTTTAATGTGCAATTCCCTCATAACACATGATTTTGAGCATCTTTTTCATATGCTTATTTGCCATCTGTATATCTTATTAATGAGGTGTTCAGATCTTTCACCTATTTTTTTTTTTTGCTTTGTGTTGTTTAGTTCTCAGAATTCTTCATACATTTTGTACAGTAGTTTTTCTATCAGATTATTTTATAAATATTTTCTGCCAGTCTGTGACTTGCTTTTTCCATTCTCTTAACAGTGTCTTTCACAGAACTGAAGTTTTTAATTTTAATGAGGCTCAACTTAATTTTTTTCATTAGTAGATTGTGCTTTTGGTTTTGTATCTAAGAAGCCATCATCGAACCCAAGATCCCCGAGATTTTCTCCTGTGTTATCTCAAAGGATTCTTATGGTTTTGCACCTTACATTTACGTGTAAGATTTATTTCATAAAGGGTATAACATGCATACCTGGATTTATTTATTTTTTTGTGTGTGGTTGTCCAGCTGCTCTAGCACCACTAGTTGGAAAGGCTATCTTTGCTGTTTTAAATTGTCTCTAAACCTCCATGGAAGATCAGTGGACTGTATGTAGGCCTGCTTCTGGGCTCTGTATTCTTTTCCATGCATCTATTTGTGTGTGTTTTCTCTTTTCACCAACTTCACATTGTTTTAGTTACTGTAGCTTAATGTAAGTCATGAAGTTGGTAGTGCCAAACCTCAGGGGATTTTTCTGAACTTCATCGTGAGAACATGGTTGAGATCATTGTAGTAAAACTTGGAAATGTGTGAGATTCCCCCTTAGACTGGTCTTCAAGGAGTTTTTAGTGCTCTATCCAGGCTACCCTAAGCTTCTGGTAATCTGTCAATACTACTAAAGTGCTCCTCCCACTTGCTGTCCCCAGTAGCTTCTCTTCCCTGTCAGCTGTGACTCCTTGTGTGTTAGCCTGTCTTTCTCATTTTTAGGGTAGCAGTTTTCCCTGTGACCTCAATTCTCTGGTGCATCCTAGAAGGGTTGACTTTCAGTTCGTTCAGCTTTTTTCTAGCTGTGAGGACAAGTGATGACTGCGTAGCTCTTTCTATGTTGGAATAGAAACCCAAAAGTTCGTTTAAATAATTACTTGTTATAAAAGTTGCCCATTGTCAATGTACAACTCAGTGATTTAAGTTGATTTATCGAATTGTGCAGCCATCAGCAGTGTTCAACTTTAGCACATTTTGTCACTTCCCCATGTTCCCTTGAACCTCTTTGTAATCATTTCCTAATCCCTGGTCCCCATGACTGAGTCTGAATAAAATAAATGTCTGGAAAGCAGACTTCATTATATTTACATTTTCATGTGTTTGGGACTTTATGTGGTGGACTATTGTGTTCGTTTTGTGACAAGTAGAGAAGAGGTTGCATTCTAGGGATGGTTTTTTGGGGAACATAATAGTAGTCCTATTTATGGCTCTCCTTGAATTGGTTCATCTGTGCTGGTGACTGGTATTTGCTACCAAACCTTGTCTGGTGAGCACTAGAAAAGGCATTTTTAAAAATCTGCTATTAAAATCGAGATGATACATTTTCACATAATAATATGTGGAGTTAAGTAGTGAACCATCTTTATTTTATTTTATTTTATCTCATTTTTTTGAGATAGAGTTATTGCTCTGTTCCTCTGGCTCAAATGCAATGGTGCGATCTCAGCTCACTCCAACCTCCATCCCCTGGGTTCAAGTGATTCTCCTGCCTCAGTCTCCTGAACAGCTGGGATTACAGGCGCCTGCCACCACGCCCAGCTAATTTTTGTATTTTTAGTAGAGACAAGGTTTCTCCATGTTGGTCAGGTTAGTCTCTAACTCTTGACCTCAAGTGATCCAACTGCCTTGGCTTCCCAAAGTGCTAGGATTACTGACATGAGCCACGGCCGGACCTGAACCATTTTTATTCTTTCAGAAATGTGATTGATAACAGTAGAGCCACACTCCTCATGTGCCTGAAATACCCCTCATTGTCTTCTTCAGGTGGCAAGGGCTCTGGAACAGCCACATAAAGGTGAGGGCAAGACTTTTACTGTAGTTCTTTCATTGATTGATTGATTGATTGATTGATTTTTTTCTCTTAGAGGGATTAGCATCCATGTATTTGAAATTGAAATTCAAGAGGAGAGACAGGCACCTGTACTAGTTTTCTCTTGCTGCCTCTTATCACGTTCCCACAAACCAGTGGTTTGAAACCACAGAAGTCTGGAATGAAGTGGCTGGGTTCTCTGATCAGAGTCAGGTGAGGCTAAAATCCAGGATTGGGCTGGCTGTGTTATGTTTTCTAGAGCTCAAGCTATTTTTCCAAGTTCACTACAGATATTGAAAGAGTTCCTATTCTTGTTTGTGGGGGACTGAGGGCTCTTTGTCTGTGCTGGCTGTCAGCCCGGAGACACTCTGACTCCAGAGGCCACCTGCTTTCCTCTTTACCTGTCTGTTCCATCTTTCAAACAATAACAACTCATGGAGGCCTTCTCAAGCTCCTACCTTCTCTGACTTCATCTTCTCCAACCAGCCACACAAAGCTCTGTCATGTATGGAGTGATGTGATTAGATCCAGTTCAGGCAGGCAACCTCACCCACCATCTTAAAGTCATATAACTGGCATATAGCAACATAATCACAGGAATGGTGTCTCGTCACCTCAACAGGCTTTAGAGACAAGAGTGTGGCATGTTTGGAGACCATTTCAGAAATTCCGTCTACCACAGTAGGACACTCACATTCCCCCATCTGCAAAATGCATTCACCCTCTCCTCTAAGGTTTCCAAATTTCATGTCATTAAAGCATTAGTTCAACATGAAAAATGTCATGTAGACCACGTCAGATCAGAAGTTTAAAATCCCAACTAAAACATCCACACCTGGTGTGGATGAGGGTTCTGAGGGTGTCTGTTAAGTACAAATCCTTGACATAATTCCCTCACCTCCTTCGAGCTGTGAAACTGAACAAACAGCTTATCTGCCCCTAATGTGAAATGACGGGACAGACATAGAATAACAACTACAGGGATTCTCGTTCAAAACGAGGGAACATGGAGGCGATAAAGAAATCACTGACCCAAAATAGTTTGGAATTGGAGCTGGGCAAAATCCAGCAGGAGTTTCTTAATTAAGATCCACCCTGGGACTGACCCTCTGTCCTGTGGGTCTTTGCTTCTGGGCTCTCTGCTGTGCATTTCTTAAAACCATTATTATTTATCATTTTTCTCACACTCTTTTGCATATGGCTTCCGTTGCACTCAAAATGTTTTTGAGATTCATCCATGTTATTTTGTGTGTCAACAGTTTGTTCCTTTAAACATTCCATAGAATGAATGTATCACAGTTTATTGATCCATTCTTGTATTGACAGATACTTGAATATTTCCAGTTTTTCCTATTATCAATAAAACTGCTATGAACATTCTTGTATAAATCATTTTCTGGACATATGTTTGAATTTCTCTTGGATAATGCTTAGGAATTACTGAGTCATAGAACAGGTAGTTGTTTAGTTCTGTGAGAATATGCCAGACATTTTTTCCCAAAGTGTGTATTCTATTGTACATTCCAACTGTTAATGTCTGAAGGTGAGAAAGCTTTTGCTACTTCCAAAGAGGCCTCTCTATATACATGTAATTTTTTCTAACTGGAGACAGGCTGATGACTTCAGGGACATGAGCATGGGATACAGGACACCTGTCATCACCACCACCATGAAGTTGGAATTCAGGAAGGAGGTTAATCATAAAAGAAATCCTGTGACCAGCATGAGCTCGTGTCAGACCACACAGGGCACTCGAGTGAACAGGGCACAGGGGGCCATGGGGTCATGGTGAGAAAGTGTCTCATTGGTAAAACCTTTTCCTTTGGGGAGGTAAATAAATTATTTCTTCCTTCTTGGTAGCCCTTGAAGATAAGGATGGTCAAACAAAATACTATCATACCTGGAGAAACTCAGATCTTGGTAAGATTTACTAGTTGGGAATCCATGTTGATCCCAAGAAGCAGCCACCAGTTGGGATCAAATGTGAGCCTATGAATCAAGGTGCGTACTCAGACACAGAGAGCTTTCTGAAAGATGCTACCAGTAGTTTTTCCAGGGCAGAGATGGGTCCTTTATTTTTCTCTCTAATCTAGCCCATATGCTTAGCTGAGAAGATTTCTTCATATCACTTTAAATGATGATGTCCCTTGTTCAACAGTTTTCTAAACATTCTTTAGATAAGAATTTTATGGGCATTCTTTATTGCATTAGGCTTAAATTTAATGCATCTTAAGGTTTTATTGCAAAGTGTTGCCTTGTTTCCTTTTTAAGATGATACAGTTTATAACATGCAAGTTTGCTGTCTGTCCCCTCCCTTTATGTACATAGAAAATGAGCAAACATGTGGCCATGAAACAGCTCATCGTAGAATTGGTTCAGTGGTTGTGAGTGCAGTAACCCAAGAGTGTCTATTCTGAAATACCATCCGGAATGCCTGGACACAGTAAACAAAGGTGGTTCAACCAGACGTCTTAGGACACATGCTTCCAAAAACAAAGTAGCTGAAAAGAAACCAGAATAACAGACCATCAGAGCCAGAGGAACATTCGGAGGTAATTCAGTACCTCCTCCTTTTCAACCTACAGGGGAGATGGTGGAACAGAAGCAGGGATGGGCCTGTCTGCTGTGCCCACAATTCATTGGAGATTGTTGTGGTGAAGAATTTCATTTATGATGAAGGAGAAATAAACCCCCATCAGCTTAAATTCAGGCAGGTTTATTGAAAAGATGAAGAAGCATCTTGCAGAAGCAAAGCATGGCTGAGGCTTGTGGGCTCTGTCTGGGAAAATGAGCAGCCGACAGTGGCTGGTGCTGCCTCTGACTCTGGGGCCTTGTGGTCTGTTGTTCCCTGAGAGCATCTCTTCTATTCTCTTGCGTCTTCCCTCAGCCTGGCAGTCTCTGTATACTCTTCAACACATAATTGAGCAAGGCTGTGCCAGCCCCAATGCTGCCTAGCACTTTAGGTCAAATTAGAAAGGCATGAAATAAACTGGCCTGTTATAATACAGCTGTTGGAACAACAGTTGAAAGTAACAGTATCTTGACTCCTGGTTGAGTGCTTTATGCTGAACTTTCTTTTCTGAATACTAGCACAGACTTTGGGATATTAGTGTCACCTAGCGTTGTTAGCTAGTATTCTCCTTTTGTTTCCCCATAACATGCCTTCGTCCTTCCCACAGATCCACTCTCCACTCATTTCCATCCTGTCTTATGCTCTAGAAGGGACTCGGGGCTTGTCCCTTCTAGAATGCATCCCTGGCTCCCCTGTGTGCACACTTCTAGTTAGGTTTAGCAATGGGGGGCTAGAAGTGAGAGGAAGGTGAGGTCTGTATTTCTTCCCTCTCCCTCCCTGCTCTGGCACTGAGTATCTGGCAATAGCTGCATCTGTCTATTACTTCAGTGGCCACTCTTCCACAGCCCCAATTCTCAGTGGGTCCCATAGCATTATTTATCTTTGTTCCTTTAGCTCCCACCAAAGAAGATCCAGAGACATTCTCCTCACCAAGGCATTAAGAAATGCATGGGTGAGGGAAACAGGAGTGTGCATGTAAAGGTCCTGTGGCGCCTCTCCTCTGCAGGCTGGAGGTCATGGCGGAAGATGCTGCATGGATTTGCCCTCCCTGCTGTCAGAACAACAGGGTTCTGGAATAGTAGAGGACAGGCCATGGGACTCAGCCCTCTAGAGACAAGGCAGGAGGGATTTCCTTGAGAGGCAGGGACATGTGGTGGTAACTAATCATTGTGAGGTGTCTGGGAGTGTAATGGATGGGAAATCTACTAAGAAATCAACTTATGTAATAATTAGAAAAGCTCTAGTTCTGAGGACAGAGACCTGTTGGAGTCACCATGGTGGGAATTTATGACCTGGCATCCAGTTCAGATACCTGGAGCTTCTTGACTGGGGGGAGATTGGATCCCTTGGGGAAGAGTGAAGCCTTCAATGCTGCCACAAGTGTATGCTGTAAATCTTCCTCCAGGCCTTCCCCAGAAGAACCTGAAGCCACTTATGTGGGTGACTGAGGAAAGGGAAATACCCAGAGCTTCAGTCGCTTGTTGGATTCTGGCTCCGAAGAATGCTAACCTAAGGGCACCTGTGGGGCCATGAAAATGCACTACTTGCATCTCCAGCTGCAGGAGGCCTAACGAATCAACAGCCCAGGCTGCTACACTCTGAATTGAGGACTTGATGACATTTCCCCCGGATCTGTACTAGCCCATGAGGAGGAAACCCTCATATCAAGTCCTCCCAACAGAACACCCATGATGAGTCATGAGGATGTCGAAGCTGTTTTCCTGTGGTGACTGTGACTTACTTTCTTCAAAGTCTGTTTTGTTTGTGCACATTCACTGATTTATATAAGAGAATAAATGCCTAGACCCCCATGAGTCTATCTTTTACTAATAAACTCTAGTTCTGAGGACAGAAGCTTGATGGAGTCAGTATAGTGGGAATTTATAACCTGGCTTCCAGTTCAGAGACCTGGAGCTTCTTGACTGAGAGGAGATCGGGTCCCTTTGGGGAAGAAAGAAACCTTTAATGTTTTCACAAGTGTATCCTGTAAATCTTCCTCTAGGCCTTTCCAGAGGGACCTGATATATGACTGATGATACAGTGACCCCAAATTCAGGGTGTTCTTATCTACTCTCAAGAATGCAATATCTTATTCCTCTGGATTCAACCTAGTACCAATTATTTGTGTATAGCTATGCACCTTAATAGACCATAGCTAATGAGATGAGGAATGGTAGACCCAATTCAGCCATACAGGCATCAACCGTATCAACATACAGGCATCCCTCTCCCGCGTTTCATTCTTGTCCCCACTCCAAAGTCTCCATTTTATTTGTATTAATTTTCTATTGCTGCATACTAAATTACTGCAAGCTTTAGAGCCTTAAAATAACAGCAGTTTACTTTCTTGCAGTGTCTACAGATCAGAAGTTCAGGCCTGGGTTAGCTGGGTCTTCTCAGGGCCTCACAGGCTGAAATTAGACTGGATTTCTTTCTGGGGGTTCTCGGGAAGAACTTCCTCTCAAGTTTCTTCATGTCAGCTGAATTCAGTTCCTTGTGACTATAGGACTGAGATCTCTGTTTTCTTGCTGGCTGTCAGCCAGGGGCTTCTCGGTCCTCCTTCTCGTCTCAAAAAAAAAAAAAAAAAAAAAAGAAGATACCATGAGTGGTCAATTAGCATAGGAAAAGATGCTCCACTGTTTAGTCACCAGGGAGATCAGTCATTACAACAATGAGTTATCGGTACATATCCATGAGAATGGCTAAAATTGAAAAGGCTGAAAATAGCACACGTTGATGAGGATATAAAGCACTTGGAAGTCTTATACTTGCAGGAATGAAAAATGGTATGACTCCTTTGAAAATCTAACAGTTTCTTAAAGGTTAAACATATACAAATCAGACGGACAGTCATTCCATTCCTAGGAATTTACACACGATATCTGCACCGTGATCTGTATGTGTGTTTCCAGACCAAACTGAGGGGCGGGCTGCTATTTCTCATGGCCCAGTAACGAGATGCAGATGAACTGGGGAGGAAGAGAGTTTTCACTTCTGCAACTGGTTACAGGGAAAAAGCCTGGAAATTATCATCAGACCAACTCAAAATTACCAAGTTTTCCTGAGCTTATGTACCTTCTAAGCTATATGTGTATGTGGAAGTGTGCATTTATCTAAATACGTAAGTGATTAACTTCTTTTTTTTTTTTTTTTTTTTTTTTTTGGGGCGGAGTCTCGCTCTGTCGCCCAGGCTGGAGTGCAGTGGCCAGATCTCAGCTCACTGCAAGCTCCGCCTTCCGGGTTCACGCCATTCTCCTGCCTCAGCCTCCCGAGTAGCTGGGACTACAGGCGCCCGCCATCACGCCCGGCTAGTTTTTTGTATTTTTTAGTGGAGACGGGGTTTCACCGTGTTAACCAGGATGGTCTCAATCTCTTGACCTCGTGATCCGTCCGTCTCGGCCTCCCAAAGTGCTGGGATTACAGGCTTGAGCCACCGCGCGCGGCCAACTTCTTTTAATCTATAACTAAGTCTGAGTCCTGAAGACCTTCCTCTGGAGCTTCAGTAGATTCACTTAATCTAAATGGGTCTAGGTGCTGGGGACCCTTATCTTGTCTCCTGCTAAATCGCAGAGGTTTGGGGAGTTCCTTCAGACCTTCAATAAACTCGTTTGTGGAGGCCTGCAGAGTTTCTTCAGACCCCCAATAAACTTGTTTAATACGAAATGATTCCTGTTAAGAATGCCTTCGTTATTTTTGTCATGCTCTAAAGCTCAGGGAAAGCCTAGGCAAAACTCTTGGTGGGCTTTTGTTACATTCCAGCCTTTATTATTTATTTATTTATTTATTTATTTATTTATTTATTTATTTATTTATTTTGAGGCGGAGTCTTGCTCTGTGGCCCAGGCTGGAGTGCAGTGGCCGGATCTCAGCTCACTGCAAGCTCCGCCTCCGGGTTTACGCCATTCTCCTACCTCAGCCTCCCGAGTAGCTGGGACTACGCTACAGGCGCCCGCCACCTCGCCCGGCTAGTTTTTTGTATTTTTTTTAGTAGAGACGGGGTTTCACCGGGTTAGCCAGGATGGTCTCGATCTCCTGACCTCGTGATCCGCCCGTCTTGGCCTCCCAAAGTGCTGGGATTATAGGCTTGAGCCACCGCGCCTGGCCACATTCCAGCCTTCATATAAGGGCACTAGCTTTTTTTTTTCCCCCTCTTAATGTTTAACTGAACCAGTCGGTCCTGAAACAGTTGCTGGGGAGGCCTGTGGTGGTGAGACCTGGCCTGCCACGTAGGGATGCTCATGATAGTTTCTTTGTAATAGCCCAAATGTGGAATGATAGAAATGTCCAGTAACAAGTGAAAGTACAAACATACAAGGTATAGCCACACGAAGGAATACTACTCAGCAATTACAAGGCATTACTTGCTGATGTAAATACTCATATGGATGGATTTTAAAATTACATTGATGCATGAAAGAAGGGAGACACAAAAGAACACAGGTATCATTTCATTTATAGAAAATGGTTAAAAATGCAAACAGACCTGAAGTGACAGCGGCTCCTTGGGGCCAAGGGTTGAAAGATGGATGAACTGCAAAGGGGTACAAGAAACTTTGGGGCATAGGGAAATATAGGGAAATTCCTCTATCTTGGTTGTGGCAGTAGTTCCATTGGTGTATACATTTGTAAACATGCATTGAATTACACATTTTAAAGTGGTGCCGTCTGTTGTACCTAAATTATACCTTTATGAAGTTGATTTCATCATCTTAATTTCTCCATACTAGCATAAGCAACTAGAAAATGAAATTCAATAAAACATAATAGAGATTAATAGCCAGAATCATTACATGCTTAATACATGCAATGAAGCAGGTACAAGGCCTCTGAAAGCAATTGGTGAGAAAAATTAAAGAAAACTAAATAAATATGTATCATGTTCTTTGATTGGAAGACTCAATTTTGTTAGCATATTACATCAACACAATTCTGATTAATCTTTCTAGTAGGAGATTTTAGAGGCATTTAAAAGCTAATTTCAAAATGTATTTGAAAATCAAACAACCTGGAATAAGCAAGTCGGTCTTGAAGAAGCAATATGTTGGAGGACTTACTCTGCTAGATTTCAAACCTGATTTTAAAGCTACAGTAATTTAAAAATGGTAGTAATGGTGTAACTATTCATAAACATATCAAAGTCAAAGAATACAGATCAAACAATATGCTCACATATGTACAGTTATTTAATGTTTTTAGTAGAATCTTTTTTATTTATAAAAAAAATCCCTCAAAACAAAAAAGTTTTTCAACCACACACAGGAGGGGTATGGGTAGGGGAAGGTGTCTGTCCATCTATCCCTGGCCCCCATGTGGTTTTGGCAGCAATAAGGTGTGTGGGGTGATGGCCCCTGAAATTAAAATGGTGTATGTATGAGATGGAAAGGGGGGCAAAGCTGTGGAAAGCAGTGGAGGGGAAGGAAAAAAGGAGGTCAGTACTGAGAACACTGAAGGTGGGAGGCCATTTCATAACACTGCTTGTTGATGAAACTGCTGTGGACACCTTCTTTGCCCATCGGCAGGCCTAGTGTCTTGGCAATCATCGTGACAATGACATTGAAGGTGGGGGCTCCACTGATGCTCTTCATATGAAGATCCACAGTCAATTCCCCATCCTGCAGCAGTAAGACCAGGACCACAGTACATTTCTGGCCTCCCAGTGTCAGCCCACTCATGAAAAAGCTTGACCAGTCTTTGCCAACCAGGACACCAACCTCATCTGGCATGATGTTGACGAAGGTTTTCCCTTGGATGGCGGCCCAGATGGAGGGCGAGTCCTTGTTGCCCACAATGGCCGCATCCTAACAGGTCCTGTCTGCCACGAAGCTGGAGATAGAGGCATCCACCTGGCTGTTGGGTTGCTGCAGGGACTTCTCTGGTTGCTGCTGCTGCGGCCTCCTGGGCTGGCAGGCAGGGGAGGCGGAGAGCTCGGGGCAGGCGCTGCCCTCCTCACCATGGCTCTGCTAGCTGTGCAGCAACCCTCGCACCGCCACTTTAAAAAATATATATATATATTTTTATTTATTTATTTTTATTTATATACATATACACCAAAAAAAAAAATATATATATATATATATATCACTTTAAGTTCTAGGGTACATGTGCACAACGTGCAGGTTTGTTACATAGGTGTACGTGTGCCATGTTGGTTTGCTGCACCCATTAACTCATCATTTACATTAGGCATTTCCCCTAATGCTTTCCCTTCCCCACCCTGCACCCCAAGACAGGCCCCGGTGTGTGATGTTCCCCGCCCTGTGTCCAAGTGCTATCATTGTTCGATTCCCACCCATGAGTGAGAACGTGCTCACACCGCCACTTCTAAATGTTTTAAAAACAAAGACACCAGTGCCCTTCACTGGGGAAATGAAAGACTTTTAAGTAAAACAGTTTTGAGTGAAATAATATTTGTTGTTTTAAAAAGTTAATATTAACAACCACTCTCCATCATACATTGAAATTAACTTAAGATGTGAAAGTTAAAATTAGAAACCTTGTAAAGGAAAAATAGGAACTAGTTTCTTGAACTTGACATAGGAAAATATTTCTTAGACTAGATACTGTAGCACTCACCACAATAAGAAATCAAGCGAATTGCACTTCATTTTAAAAAACCTTCTGCTTATTATGTTGTTGTTTAACAACTTAAATGCTATGTGTAGACCAGGAATAATTATTTGCTATATAATATAGCAAAAAATATGTATCTATAAATGGATTCATTCAAAATATATAAAGAACTCCTATAGATTACAAAGAAAATGACAAACACCCCCCAGTATATCAATGAACATAAAAATGTGAGAAGATATTTTCCATAAGATATCTAAATGAACATTAGGCATGAGAAAACCAAAATAGGATATCACTGTACACCTGGTATAATTTAAAATACTGAAAATATTAAGTGTGTGGGAATGTAGAGCAACTGGAAATGGCCTGTATCTTTCATAGAAATGTAAATACAACTACTTTCCAAAACTCTGTGTCCGTTTTCTACCCATTCACCAAGCAACTCCATCCCTAGCTGTAGATACCCAGGAACGTAAGTATCTTCACAGAAATAATTCTATGAGAATATTCATAGTTACTTATGCACAGCAACCAATAAGTAAACCTGTCTCCCATCAGAAAAATGGGTATCAAATTATGTGATAATCATACAATCAATAGGATATTACTTGGCCAAAACAAAATGAAACAAGGGAAAAAAACAAATTAGTGGCATATATAACCTCCTGAGTAAGATAAGTCAAAATAAGAGAACATACTAAATGATTCCTTTTTTTTAAATTTTTTTATTTTTGAGACGGAGTCTCACTCTGTCCCTAGTGGCACGATCTCAGCTCCGCCTCCTGGATTCAAGAAATTTTCCCTGCCTCAGTCTTCCAAGTAGCTGGGATTACAGGCATCTGCCACCATGCCTAACGAATTTTTGTATTTCCACTAGAGACAGGGTTTTGCCATGTTGGCCAGGCTGGTCTTGAACTCCTGACCTCAGGTGATCTGCCCGCCTCAGCCTCGCGAAGTCTTGGGATTACAGGTGTGAGTCACCAGGCCCAGCCAAAATGATTCCATTTTTATGAAGCAGATGAATAAGCAAAATTAATCTACGGTGGCTGCTATAGTTTAAATATTGGTCCCCTCGAAATCACATGTTTAAATGTCCCCAGTATTGGAGGTGGGAGCGGATCCCTCATGAATAGATTAATCCCCGCCCTGGGAGAAGGTAGTGAGTGAATTCTCACTCTCTTAGCTCCTGTAGGAGCTGGTTATTACAAAGTGCCTCTCACCTTTACTTTCTGTCTTTTGCTTCCTCTCTCAGCATATGATCTCTGCACACTCTGGTTCCTTTTCATCTTCTGCTGCAAGTGGAAGCAGCCTCAGGCCCTCATGAGGAGCAGATGCGGGTGCCATGCTTCTTGTGCAGCCTGCAGGACTATGAGCAAAATACACCTCTTTTCTTTATAAATTACCCAGCCTCTGGTATTCCTTTCCAGCAACACAAAGGGACTAAGGCAGTGACAACATTCAGAATGTGTTCTTCATTTGGGGGATGTGTTGACTGGCAAGGACCACATCAGAACTTTGTGGCATGGGTGAAAATATTCTCTGTCTTTAACTGGGTGTTATTATACAATGTATAGTTATATTAAAATTTATTAAGCGGTACCTTTAGGTTTTTTGCAGTACACTCTATGCAAATTATACCTCAGCGAAGAACTGTTAGCAACAGCAAAGAGAGAAAACAAACACTCAAAAATGTGAAAATTGACAGAAAGTAGGTAACAAATATTTAGCATATAAATAAGAGGGATCCATTGAGAAGAAACCAAAAGCAATGGAATAGAACAAAGACAAAAAAGTATAATAAAAAAGAGTTTCAAATTTCAAAGTTTGAAATGATATTAGAGTGGCACACAGTTTCCTTGGGAAAATCAAGCGAGAACCACAAACTCTGAGACTAATTCCAGCAAAAATATGTAAATCAGTTTGATCTAATGGTCCAAGGTTAACTTTGAAGGCTAAAAGGAACTGGTTTTTAATTCTTATCCTCTCCTCACTAGTTTTGTGACTTAGGGAAATTTTGCAATCTTTCTGAGTTTGTTTTCTCATCAGGAGCAGGATAATACCTAAGTAACAGGAGAGTTCATAGATTTTTTTTTTTTTTTTTTTTTTTTTTGAGATGGAGTCTCGCTCTGTCACCCAGGCTGGAGTGCAGTGGCTCTATCTTGGCTCACTGCAAGCTCCACCTCCTGGGTTCACACCATTCTCCTGCCTCAGCCTCCCGAGTAGCTGGGACTATAGGCGCCCGCCACCACGCCCAGCTGATTTTTTGTATTTTTAGTAGAGATGGGGTTTCACCATGTTAGCCAGGATGGTCTCGATCTGACCTCATGATCCGCCTGCTTCGGCCTCCAAGTGTTGGGATTGCAGGCATGAGCCACCGTGTCTGGCCAGTTCATAGATTTAAATATGATTGCATGGCAGTGGACATGAACCATAATTGTTAAGAACATACTTACACTGAGCGCTCCTTTATCCACGTTAAAATGTAGACAAACAACAATTGACAAAGAATAGACAAACTGTTCTAACATAAATATTCTTCTTTTGTTTCTAGAAAGAAGTCACACATACAGTAAAAATAGAACCTAGTTCATTTTGAACAATCTTCCTCAAACCCTGAAACAGGTGTACTTTCTAATACGAGAGATGTCTTGAATGAGTCCAACCCCTGCAGTTCCCTCTGTCTGGAATAGACGTAGGAAGTTTGCTCCAGCCTTAGAACAGCATGGGCTGGCAAGCGTTCTCAGAGAGGCTCTCGACTTCAACTGTAAAGGCCCTGAGGAATATGTGCAACTGGGTCGGGTTAAGGCCAAGCTGAACCACACGACCAGGGCTCTCACCAGTGCCAAAGTCAGTGGAAGGATATCAGTCCCCAGAGCTCTGTTACAGGCCATGGATGCTCCATGGAGGAGTGGTGAGCATATGAATAACAATCAGGAGAAACATCGGTAATGGACAGGAGGCATAAATAAGCAATGTTCACCCTCCACTAAAACCCAGGAAATTCTCATTCAAAAAATGATGTCTTGAAGAAAACATAGGTATAAATCTTTGTGACTTTGGATTAGACATTTTTAAAGTAGGCACAAACAACTCAAAAATAGATATATAAATGGACTTCATTAAAATAAAAATCTTACATGCTTTAAAGGACACTGTCAAGGAAGTGAGAAGATAATCCACAGAATGGGAGAACTATTTCCAAATTATATATTTGACATGGGTCTAGTACCTAGAGTATACAAGGAATTCATATAACTGAGCAATAAATGACAAACAACCAAATTTGACAATGGGTAAAAAGCTGTGAGTAGAGGTTTCTCTAAAGCAAACACACAAATGGCCAAGAAGCACATGCAAAGATGTTCAGTGTTTTTCATCATTAGGAAAATGTAAATTTAAACCAAAATGAGAGACCACTTCACACCCACTAGTATGACTTAAGAAAAAAATAGGCCGGGTGTGGTGGCTCATGCCTGTAATCCCAGCACTTTGGGAGGCTGAGACGGGTGGATCACAAGGTCAGGAGATCAGGACCATCCTGGCTAACATGGTGAAACCCCGTCTCTACTAAAAATACAAAAAATTAGCCGGGTGCGGTGGTGGGTGCCTGTAGTCCCAGCTACACGGGAGGCTGAGGCAGGAGAATGGCGTGAACCTGGGAGGTGGAGCTTGCAGTGAGCCAAGATTGCGCCACTGCACTCCAGCCTGGGCGACAGAGCAAGACTCCATCTCAAAAAAAAAAAAAAAGAAAAAAAGAAAAAAATAAAGACAATACATGTTTGGAAATTACAGAGAATATGAAATTCTCATATATTACTAGGGGGAATGTAAAATGGTGTAGCCACTGAAGTTGGTAAACAGTGTGTGAATTCCTCAAAAAGTTAAACATAAAAAAAAGTTAAACATAAAGTGACATATGATGCAGCAATTGCACTCCTAGGTTAATAACCAAGAAAATGAAAAACAGATGTTCACTTAAAAACATGTACAAAGCTGTTCATAGCAGCATTATTCATAATAGTTAAAAAGTGGAAACAAACCACCATCAGTTGATGAATAAACAAAATGTGGTATAACCATATAGTGAAATATTATTTAGCCATAAAAAAGTTGAAGTACTGATGCAGGCTAAAAAGGATGAAACTTGAGAACAATATGCTGAGAAGCAGATGTAAAATGCCACACTTTGTTATTCCATATAGAGGAAGTGCCCAGAATAAGAACATCTGTGTATAGAGAAAGTAGATTAGTGGTTGTCAGAGACCGCAAGAAGCGGGGAATTGGAGAGTGACTGCCCGTAGATACAGGCATGCTTTCTGGCATTATGAAAATATTCTGGAATTACGTAGTGGCGATGGTTGCAAAACTTTTGGAATATGGTAAAAGACACTGAAATGTATGCTTTAAAATGGTGAATTTTGTGATATATGAATTATACTGTAGAAATAATACTAATAACACTAATAAAGCAAGGTGTCTTTCCACATCTCAGTGTCTTGTATTTTCATTAAAAACAAACACAAACAAAAAGCATTTCAGGGCCAGGCTCAGAGGCTCACTTCTGTAATCCCAGCACTTTTGGAGGCCTAGGTGAGAGGATTGCTTGAGGCCAGAAGTTCAAAACCAGCCTGAGCAACAAAGCAAGACCTTGTCTCTATGAAAAATAAAAAGTCAGAAATGGTGATGTGTGCCTAGAGTTCCAACCACTTGGAAAGCTGAGGCAGTAGGATCGCTTGAGCCCAGGAATTCGAGGTTGCAGTGATCTGTAATCACCAGTGTACTCCAGCCTGGGTGACAGAACAAGACCCTGTCTCCAAAAAAAAAAAAAAAAATCTCACTTTAATAGTAAGTGGCCAGAATACGATGCTGGTAGCATGTTGTGAGGAAATGTATTAGATGAAAGAAGTTAAATTCCAGTTTTCCTTTTTTTCAGAAATGAGGTATAGGGGAGAGAAACATGTACTTGGAAAGAACTGACCCAGCTGAATTGGAAAATGTGGGAAGGGGATGGGAAGAGGCTGCTGCACCTGAGATCTGGCTTCAGGACTTACAGCAAGGGGAACTTGGGCAAGTTACAGACTCTCTGTGCCTCAGCTTCTTCATCAGCAAAACAGAAGGAATCATCCCATAAACTGTAAGGTCGATGCTATCAGCGGGTCCCCAGATTGACTGCGCATCTGAGTCATGTTAACAAACACATTCCAGGCCCCACCTGAGCCTTCTGAATCAGAATCCCTTCAAGGAGGACAATGTATGTGCACTGACTTTCCCAGGTGCTTCTTACTCTGATCAACTTGGGGGTAGCTGCATCACATCATTCCAAAGCCAAAACACAACAGCAGAACAAGAATATTTTCAATGCAGTCTCTAAAGCAGAGTAGAAACTGTGGAGGGAACCTAGAAGTAAAGGAGATCTGGCTTGCTGGGCTCCATTTAAACTTTATTTTGAGTACAGCAGAGACACGAGCCCTTCGGGACACATGCCTGAGGCCGTGACAGTCCAACTTTGGAACAGTGGAAGCCCTAGTTTCAAATTCAAGCTTGCTTTGAGTAGAAATTAAGTTTACCTCTTTTTGCACAGCAACATGGCCCATCTTTCCTAAGCTGCTCAGCTTACAAAAAAAGGAATCATCCTGTTAAGAATTCAAACTTCAGCAGTCATGGGTAAGTAAGGAAGTCTTATAAATCTATTCTAGCCACCTAACAAGAAACCAGAAATTTAGCAAGTTCTTTCACTTTCAGGACAGTTGTGTTCACTAGATCAGAGGCATTGAGACAAGAAGAACAGACCCCTAAAAAGGGAAAGTGTTCCTTTCAGTTTTAGGACATCACTGGAACATTAGGGAAGTGGGAACACAGCTGCCTGCTCTACAGTGTGGGTTGCCTTTGTGTCTGGAATGTGTCTGACGTCCTGATCCCTGTGCCTATTTCAGGAGCCTTGGGAGGAGCCTGAATCACTGATGGAATTGGACAGTGCTGAGGAGATGGCTCAGCAGGACGAGGGTAACTGCAGGGCAAGTCTAGGTCATACTGAGAGACAATGAGTGGTGCTGATGGGGACAGACAAAGATAAAATCAAAAGTTTGTGCTTCATCTTCAAAAACTCAAACTAATAACAAACTTGGCCTTATGAGAAATAATAAGTATTTTTCTATTCACGTGAGAATTTAATCTCAAAACAGAAATCAGAAAAATATTAAGTCCAGGACATGAAACCTAAACCATTGCTCATATTTATTCTTTCTAAATAGAGCAAAGTGTAAAATCTTCTCCATAAAACATACATTGTGGTTATAAAAAGGCAAAAATCTTAGTGAGAATCATTGGTATTCCATAGAAGAGTGAATTAAACACAAGGGAAGACCCAAGTCTCATACTTCTCTTGCATATTCCAAAGTTCCAGGGAAATTCCAGGTGATAGAGGTTATTTCTCATACTGTTAAAGCAAGGTTGCAGACACTTGGGAATTTTGGTCCCAGTACTCTAGGAGGGCACACCTCTGTCCTGGAAAATGATACAGGAATGAATACTCTTCCCGTGACTCATTCTGCTCATTCTTCCAGCATCACAAAAACAAAGAAATGGAAATAATGGCCAAACACATGATTTGCTATCCCTCTTCTTCAGTTTCTTACCTGTTACTTATGGATAATAGCATTACCTTAAGGATTATGATGAAGACACAATGTCCAAATATGAGCACAGTTTTGAACAAAATGCCTTGTATGAATTGGTCAATGAATAATTACTAAATAATTATGTGAATATTTACTGAATTATATGGATCATATGAATAATTACTGAATAATTGTTGTGATTGCTTTTATTGGCAGTGCTGAAAACTCATCCCTGTGTGACCTCGAGTAAGCCATGTAACTTTGTGAACCTGCAGTTTTATCATTTAGAAACTTGAAAGATTTTCATTCTAACACAGAATGTCAGGTCTCCCAGACCCCAGAAAATGCATTGACTTAAAGCCTTTGATAGATCTCAAAGCAGTATACTTACAGTGTCATTGGAGGATGGTGGGGGCTGCAGAGGGGGATGCTTTCAAATGGATTGATGCAGTCCTCCTTCCTTTACTTCCACATGAATGCTGGGCAGCCCAGGGTCACACCCACTGTACCCTCAACTCAGGCAAGTCCAGCAGCCAAACTGAGGAGACCTGGGCTACAGAACAGTCTCCCAAGTTCTAGGCTCACAAAACCTAGGTGGGAATGAAAGCTGAGAAAGTGAGGAGGTGGTTCAGGGGGTCACTCTTTTTCCTGCTCATTCCTCTCACCTCAAACTCACCTACTGCACAGCAACACTGAGGATCACCAACCAGCCCTGACCAGAACCGTGATCTTGCCATGTTCTGTTAGTGGAATGCAACCAAAAATCAATGGTGTTAGTCCAGCTCAACAAAATATACATCAAACCATATTCCACAAGAACTGCTCGTGGCCCTGTTCTTTTCAGTATTTGGGAAAACAAAATGGAAACAACAAAATAGCATCAGGTTTACAAAAATTCCCAAGATAGATGGTCACACGTGTTTTCAGGAGACCTCTATATAAATGATTTTGATCACTGGATACCTTGAAAAGAGGTCTTGTGGCACTTGAATGACATCCATAAGTGATAAGTATAAAATGTAGTGCTCAGTGACATTGAAAAACAAATCAACCCACATAGAGGAAGAGCTTTGGACGTAGGGATGCCAAACAGGTCTAGAGTGTAATGAAAGCCCAAGATGGTGCCCCACTGAGAAAAAGAAATCAACATAACAGTGGGTTGCAGAAAGAAGAATACTGAGACAGGAAAGAAAACATTTTTAAAAAATGAATTATTCATTCACTTTCTAGTGGATACAGAAAAAACTGCAGAAGACCCAGAGGATATCAGGGCAGGCTGAAAGTTTGATATCTTACACCTGTGGAAAAGCCTAAGACTCTGTTTTAACTTACAGCAGGTGGGGTGACTTCATGACTACCATTAAGAAAATATAACCTGTTGGGAAACTGTTTCTGCCTTCACGATTTTGTATAGACAAGAGCTAAACAGTGAGGAATATGCTTAGATGTATTGGGAAAGAGTTGGGTCTGTGCCATTGTCACGAGGGTACACGAATACTGAGAGTGAATGCTGAAGGAATGATCCCCATTGGTGGTGACCTCAGGTGAGACCAGGGTGCCTGTGTTTCAGCAAAGCCTGGGCAATTGGAATGCAGGGCTCCTAAGATTCCACGACACCCCCACCTTCTAATTCTGTTATTGCAACTGCAGACGGTTACCTGGCACGCTGGCGACAATCTTCCTCACTCTTGTCAGACTCTGAGCCACTGGCAGTGCCTTCAGCTCTGAGCTCAGACACCTCAAACCTTGTTTTTGTGGTTAAGGATCCTAAAGTGCTGTGGGGAGTGATCACGTTTTTCTCAACAGTAAGTTAAGAATTTCAGTTACTGACATCCCTCAGTCCTGATTAAACCTATTTGATTTCACCAGTTTTTAACCCACCATGTGTTTGCATTTCTTCTCCCCAGTCCCTGGCTCCACCTCTTCTGCCACAAACCTCAGCATGGTGGTATCTGCCGGCCCTTGGTCCAGTGAGAAGGCAGAGATGAGCATTCTAGAAATCAACGAGAAACTGCGCCCCCAGCTGGCAGAGAAGAAACAGCAGTTCAGAAACATCAAAGAGAAATTTCTTGTAACTCAAGTGAAGTGGCCTGCTTCCTGGTCAACAGGCAGAACAAATACAGTAAGATCTCTAGGCTCACCATCACGAAAGTGATGAATGATGTCCTGTCTTCCCTCTGAGAAACTAAATGGTCTCTCCATCAAAAATAATTTCTTCCTTCCCATACTTCTAGGAAAACAGAATGGGTATTTTAACATTTTGTTAAGGTTGGAAGACAGAGGTACCAAAGTATTTGGCAACTTTCCATGTTTGCAGTCAGATGGGAGTGGGACTAGAGTTCAAATCCCAGTTGTTACTTTCTGACACAGGCACAGAACGACCTGTTTTCTCCAAGAGGCTTCATCATGTTTTCAAGAATCCTCTCTGTACCATATAAGATCCTGCAGACAAATAACATCTAGTCTGTTGTTCTAAATGTCTGGGACCAGTGAACTTTTATTCAGTACAAGATTCTGTTGAGACCCAATAGTCAAAGCTCTGTTCTAGTGACCCTGAGGGAAACTTTGTGATAGTACCCAGTACCCACTCTGAGGAGCTTCAAGAGGTGTCTGCTCCTAATAGAACCTGTGGTATCTGTAAGTGACAGCATCAAGAGCAGGGAGCAGGGGCCATGCACAGTGGCTCACCCCTGTAATCCCAGCACTTTGGGAGGCTGAGGCGGGCAGATCACGAGGTCAGGAGTTTGAGACCAGCCTGGGCAACATGGAGAAACTGCGTCTCCACTGAAAATACAAAAATTAGCTGGGCATGGTAGGAGGCACCTGTAATCCCAGCTACTCGGGAGTCTGAGGCAGGAGAACCTTTGGAACCCAGGAGGCAGAGGTTGCAGTGAGCCAAGATCGCGCCATTGCACTCCAGCCCTGGGCGACAGAGGAAGACTTGTCAAGGAGGGAAAAAAAAAAAAAAAAAGCAGAGAGTACCCTGGTGAGAGGAAGTCCTGCTTCCTGGTGCACAGGCTCTTGTTCCTAAAGAGGAAGAAAGATCACACCCGACAATGTGTGGAAGTAGCAGTGCAGTGGGCAGAGCAGGGACCCTGGGCCTGTATCCTGGGTTCCATCCAAGTTGCTTGTCTTGTCTGTCCCTCAGTTTCCTCATCTGTTCATAGGGTGCTACAATAATACCTACCTCTGTAAATTGCTGCAGTGAATTACATGAGCTATTTCTTGTCAATCTCCTAGAACATTTACTGGCACAGAGTAAACACTATCTATTAGTTCTTCATTCTACTGTTTCTAAATTAACACAAACTTTGTTAGTATTTGGGCACATTTCCTTCATGGCCTTATGGTCTTATGTCTCATACTTTATGTTTCAGATATGATTCTTAAAATCATATCTGAAGATATGATTTAGAAATCAAAGATTTTAAAAATCTTTGACATACTTGTCCTTGAAATTCCCAGTAAAAGGGAAACCATCAGTCCCATAGTCCTAGGGGCCTTCCCGACTGTACAAGAAATCACTGCTTCATGGCCCAGTGCAGTGTTTTAGAGGAGAGGCTGAAGGCTTGGAAAAGCAGCCCCACATTCAGACTCAGACCTCAGGGGCTGTGAATTCTGACTCCACTTCGTTGTGGTTGAATCATCTTGTCAATTTCCTTGATGTGCCCTTGAGTTTCTCTTTCTTTGTCTCTAAATTTTGGAAGATCAGATGCCAGAAAGTCGGGAGACTGAAGAGTAAAGATGTGGAAATCCCTGCCTAGAGCCTGGTAGTGGGGACAGTTTTGTCCTTGGGATGGACCTGCCTCCTGCCCTGTAGGCAGTGACCACAGCAGCATGTTCAGCCTTCCACTGAGGCAGGCGTGTCTGTCTTTTCTCAGAGTATGAAGAGTGCAAAGACCTCATAAAATCTATGCTGAGGGATGAGCTGCAGTTCAAGGCGGAGAAGCTTGCAGAGCAGCTCAAGCAAGCTGAGGAGCTCAGGTGAGGGGGCCCCGTAGGGGCAGGCAGGTGGGCAGGTGTATAAATCTCTGATGTACAGCAGCTCAGCGGGGAGAAGTAAGAGCTAAGCTGGGTCAGGGAAGGGAAGGAATTGCCATGGCAGGCTCATGACACACAAATATTTATCAAACAGAGAACAAGGATAATAATAAGTTATGGGTTGCAGTTGTTTCTCAGAGCCTTGTTTTCTCTTTTTCAAACAAGTAATTGTTGAGGTGAAATTTACATAACACGAAATTAATCAAAGGAGTGCAAACCACCCAGTAGCATTCAGTATACTCAAAATGGTGTGCCATCACCACCCCACTTACCCTTAGTCAGAATCACCTCCTGACTGGCTGCGGCGTCTCATTCTTCCACTCAATCAATGTTGCCTTCTCGGCCCTGTCATTCTTTTCTTCTTTCGTCTTTTCAACTCGCCACATCTGCACCCGGCCTCATTTCTGTACATGGCTTTGTATCTATCGCTGCAAGATGCACTATGCATATTTTCACATGGAAATGTCTGTGGCCAGGGTGAGGAACTGAAAGGATGTCTTTTTGAAATGGAATTAGGAAAACACCTACTTTTGTTTACAGAAGAGAAAGATGAATGGAACATCATCAAGGATCTTACAGGAGCCCTCTCTGATACAGAGGAAGCCTGTAAACCATTTTCTATTCTTTCTCTTGGCCACAGACATTCCTTTAAACATGTGCTGACCTTCTGCTTGGAGGTCTCCTTGAGGACATTGTCGCTCATCCCTTTCCACTGTTAAATGTTCTCTACCATCTCACCTTAGGCAATATAAAGTCCTGGTTCACTCTCAGGCACGAAAGCTGATCCAGTTAAGGGAGAAGTTACGGGAAGGGAGAGATACCTCCTGCTCATTGACTCAGCATCTCCAGGCCCTCCTCACTCTGGATGAGCCGGACAAGTCCCAGCGGCAGGACCTCCGAGAACAGCTGGCCAAGGGGTGTAGGCTGGCACAGCACCTTGTCCACAAGCTCAGCTCAGGTAAGGTGGCCACAGGCCCTGATGACCCCAAACCCCCAGGCTTATGAAATACTCCAGACCTCCACACTTTCACAATGACAGTTGTATCGGTGGGGTTTTTTCCACTAAACATGTGTGGCCATGACATGACCAGGACTTCCTGGGTAAGAACGGAGATGGGGAAACCCATGAGGTTGGAGGTCACAGTATTGCAAATGTCCCTCCTTCCTTGATGGAAGGTGGTCTTTGGAACAAGAGGCAACATCTGTCTAGTTTTAAAGGACAGGAAGGAGGCTGTGACAGGCGGACGCTTGTTAGAGTGAAAAGAGCTCTGGACTAAGAATGAAGGTTCCCAGGCTGTCTCTTCGGCAATGTTCTTAGTAACTGTCGGTGAGGGAGTGATTTATCCTTCCTGAGTTTCTCTCTCTCCATCTGCAAAGGCAGCCAAATTGTCTCTTGCAAGGGTCTGAAGCATCCAAATGTGGGAATACTTACAACTGTTTTTCAAAATGAGATGAAGCCCCTCGCCGTGTGGTGTTGGAGAAGGCACTTGATGTGGGGGCATTTGGTGGTAGGAAGGGCTTTAGACTGGAGCACTCCCCATGGAGAGAATGTCCCTGAATAACACAGCAGAAGCCACGTGGAGGACCTGTGCAGTCTCCTGATGTATAGAGGACTGTGGGACAAGTTTGTCCTCTCCTAAGAGAAAGAATTAGGTTGGAAATGCGAACTGTGACAGGACACCAAGCCCGTGCCTGGGAATCAGGTCTGTGGCGGGATGGGGGAAACAGCTGCCAAAGGCCAGAGAGAGGCTGCACAAGCCTCCAGTGATAGGGGGAGCAAAAGGTCTTTTCAATATTTGGCCATATCTTGATGGTGGCCCTCCAGATAGAAATGCATTGCCTGATGGATCAGGAAACGACGCCAGGGCATTTTGTTAAAAATAAAACATGAGAGCTTTCAGCTGAACGGTGACCCATGCCTAGATGTTCATGTCTCTGTGCTCATTGGGCTGACTGTGCTTGCAGAGTGTGAAGTGGGAAATACCTGAACTAACACTTCTCTATTTTCAGAAAATGACAAAGGTGAGGATGAAGATGTTCAAGTTGAGGAGGCTGAGAAATTACAGGATTCATGTGCCCCCAGGTAACACTGAATACTCAGGAGCAAGTAATGGGTGGTAACATATGAAAAGGGTCTAGGAGGCGCACCCTCTCTGGCATCTACGATGGGCCCAAAGCCTGCATTCCCTTGGCCACAGTATGTGAAATTCAACCCAGCTTAGGCACAGGGTGTGGCAGCTGTTGTGGTTTTCTGTGTGTGCCGAGTGTCATGTCTGTACTGTACAGGGACAGCTGAGTCTTCATCCTCCTCAGCTTCTATCTTTCCAGTGCAGTGAACACCAGTTGCTCTCTTCCTCTCTGGCTCCCATGGCAGCCATGCTCTGTTGCAGAGAGAAGAGGATTGCCTGTTCCCTCTTAAAGGGAACTGTTTGCTTTCTTGGACTACTCTCCTTTTGCCTCTTGCCAAAACCAGCTAGGATTCCCTGGGGTCCAATCCCTCTGTGTTTAATCTTCTTTCTTCTCTGTCCCACCTGGCTCATCAGGAAGGTGCAGAAGGCCGAAGAAAGGGAAGTCCCTGAGGACTCACTGGAGGAATGTGCCATCACTTGTTCAAATAGCCATGTTCCTTGTGACTCCAATCAGCCACACAGGAATACCAAGATCACATTTGATGAAGACAAATTCAACTCACCTTTCATTGACTCATCCTCTCATGATGAGTGGGCAGATGCTGTACATATTATCCCAGGTAGCCTCTCTTTTCCTTGTGTCTCCTGCCTCTGTCTAGGCTGAGGAAGGTAAACTCTGAAGACAGGCTCTATACACACAGATTGTTTTGAATAAAACCTACGGTGGCATCTAAACAGATATCAGGAAGTTTTTTGTCCTTCTCAGCTCATGTCATGCCTTTGTCTGCCAGTCCCCAGTATCAAGTTACTGGACCCCATGCAGGTGTGACAATCTCATAGTCACCTGAGTGCAGGAGGTACACAGGAAGTATCTGTCAGGCCTTCTAGCTTCAATTCAGTATCTCTTGTCATCTGCGATTAAGTCATCTGTCCCTGAACAATGTTCATGGAGTTTCTATGCCTTTTTAAGGAAGCTGGCAGCCTTGCCTTTGCATCTGGAAATATTGTTCCCTAGGCTTCACTGCTGTCAGCTTTAATCTTGATCTCCTTTAAGTCAGCTTGCTTAGCTGCACAGTCACCCTGAAATCAGGACGGAAAATTTTCTTCTTTACTTTGCTGATATATTTCCATAAAGCAAGGCTGGACCCTGTTTCTCCACCCCATCAGTGCAATGGCTGATCCAGTGTTTCTTTGTAGCATCATAGATTTTTTTTGTTGTTGTTGCAATGGAGTCTTGCTCTGTCATCCAGGCTAGAGTGCCGTGTCACCATCTTGGCTTGGTGCAATCTCCGCCTCCCAGATTCAGGTGATTCCTTTGCCTCAGCCTTCTGAGTAGCTGGGACCACAGGTGCACACCACCACATCTGGCCAATTTTTGTATTTTAGTAGAGACCAGGTTTCCCCATGTTGGCCAGGCTGGTCTTTAACTCATGACCTGAAATGATTCACCTGTCTTGGCCTCCCAAATCACAGATTCTTTTTAAAGCAAGAGTTGTTCAAATTTATCTATCAGTCGAGTTTCATGTATAGATGCCTCTAAACATTTAATGTCCATGTTACCTGGTGATATAAGTCAGTATTGCGGCGAAAACCCTAGAAAATTGTTTGACCAATTTCTGGAGAGTTTTTTGGGAAAAATTTTGTTTAACTTTGACTCAGGCAGGGAATATGGCATTATGGTCTACATGTAGAGGGAGACTTTGGCCTGTGGGTCTGGAAAGCAGGGTCATCTACTTCTCACCACACTTTATCTAGGGCACCCTAGAATATTCCTCTCAGAATCCATATTCTTGCACTGAGAATAGTTACCTCCTTGTGCTATGACTGGACAGTGATTTGGTCATATATGACAGTGATTTGGTCATATGTGAAGTGTGAATTGCTTAATGTGACCTGCTTCTCTGAATTGATTTACAGAAAATGAAAGTGATGATGAGGAAGAGGAAGAAAAAGGGCCAGTGTCTCCCGGGTAATGCTGTGGAATTGGGGGCTGTTAATTCAGTAGTGACACCCGGAGATCGTAGATTTAGGGAAAAAGGTGATGAATAAAACTATTTCTTCCCTTCACTCAGCTACAAATTGTCCTTATTAACAATGTTGTGTGTTATTCGTGGTACCTGTATTGGTTTTAATTTCGTAGTCCTCTCAGTATAGGCACTTGCAATCAGATGAGCCAGGTGAATGAGCCAAACAGGGTTTTCTTGTTGATCTTTTCAAAAAGCCAGCTCCTGGATTCACTGATTTTTTGAAGGGTTTTTTTGTGTCTCTATCTCCTTTAGTTCTGCTCTGGTCTTCGTTATTATTTATTGTCTTCTGCTAGCTTTTGAATTTGTTTGCCTTGCTTCTCTAGTTCTTTTAATTGTGATATTAGGGTGTCAATTTTAGATCTTTCCTGCTTTCTCTTGTGGGCATTTAGCGCTATAAATTTCCCTCTACACACTGCTTTAAATGTGTCCCAGAGATTGTGGTATGTTGTGTCTTTGTTCTCATTGGTTCCAAAGAACATCTTTATTTCTGCCTTCATTTTGTTATTTACCCAGTAGTCATTCAGAAGCAGGTTGTTCAGTTTCCACACAGTTGTGCGGTTTTGAGTGAGTTTCTTTATCCTGAGTTCTAATTTGATTACACTGTGGTCTGAGAGACAGTTTGTTGTGATTTCTGTTCTTTTACATTTTCTGAGGAGTGCTTTACTTCCAACTATGTGGTCAATTTTGGAATAAGTGTGATGTGGTGCTGAGAAGAATGTATATTCCATTGATGTGGGGTGGAGAGTTCTGTAGATGTCTATTAGGTCTGCTTGGTGCAGAACTGAGTTCAGTTCCTGGATATCCTTGTTAAGCATCTGTCTCGTTGATCTGTCTAATGTTGACAGTGGGGTGTTAAAGTCTCCCATTATTATTGTGTGGGAGTCTACATCTCTTTTTAGGTCTCTCAGGACTTGCTTTATGTATCCGGATGCTCCTGTATTGGGTGTGTATATATTTAGGATAGTTAGCTCTTCTTGTTGAATTGATCCCTTTACTATTATGTAATGGCCTTCGTTGTCTCTTTTGATCTTTGTTGGTTTAAAGTCTGTTTTATCAGAGACTAGGATTGCAACCCCTGCTTTTTTTTTGTTCTCCATTTGCTTGGTAGATCTTCCTCCATCCCTTTATTTTGAGCCTATGTGTGTCTCTGTATGTGAGGTGGGTCTCCTGAATACAGCATACTGATGGGTCTTGACTCTTTATCCAGTTTGCCAGTCTGTTTTCTAATTGGGGCATTTAGTCCAATATTAAGGTTAATATTGTTATGTGTAAATTTGATCCTGTCATTATGATGTTAGCTGGTTATTTTGCCCATTAGTTGATGCACTTTCTTCCTACCTAGCATCAATGGTCTTTACAATTTGGCATGTTTTTGCAGTGTCTGGTACCGGTTGTTCCTTTCCATGTTTAGTGCTTCCTTCAGGAGCTCTTGTAAGGCAGGCCTGGTGGTAGCAAAATCTCTGAGCATTTGCTTGTCTGTAAAGGATTTTATTTCTCCTTCACTTATGAAGCTTCGTTTGGCTGGATATGAAATTGTGGGTTGAAAATTCTTTTCTTTAAGAATGTTGAATATTGGCCACCACTCTCTTCTGGCTTGTAGGTTTTCTGCCGAGAGATTTGCTGTTAGTCTGATGGACTTCCCTTTGTGGGTAACCCAGCCTTTCTCTGGTTGCCTTTAGCATTTTTTCCTTCATTTCAACCTTGGTGAATCTGACAATTTTGATTCTTGGGATTGCTCTTCTCGAGGAGTATCTTTGTAGTGTTCTCTGTATTTCCTGAATTTGAATGTTGGCCTGCCTTGCTAGGTTGGGGAAGTTCTCCTGGAGTGTTTTCCAACTTGGTTCCATTCTCCCTGTCACTTTCACGTATACCAATCAAATGTAGGTTTGGTCTTTTCACATAATCCCATATTTCTTGGAGGCTTTGTTCATTTCTTTTTACTCTTTTTTTTCCTCTAAACTTCTCTTTTTGCTTCATTTCATTCATTTGATCTTCAATCACAGATACCCGTTTTTCCACTTGATCGAATCAGCTACTGAAGCTTGTGCATATGTCACGTAGTTCTCGTGCCATGGTTTTCAGCTCCATTGGGTCATTTTAGGTCTTCTCTACACTGTTTATTCTAGTTAGCCATTCATCTATTCTTTTTTCAAGGTTTTTAGCTTCCTTGCGATGGTTTTGCACATCCTCCTTTAGCTCAGAGAAGTTTGTTATTACTGACTTTCTGAAGTCTACTTCTGTCACCTCGTCAAAGTCATTCTCCATCCTGCTTTGTTCCATTGCTGGCAAGGAGCTGTGATCCTTTGGAGGAGAAGGAGCGCTCTGGTTTTTAGAATTTTCAGCTTTTCTGCTCTGGTTTCTCCCCATCTTTTTGGTTTTATCTACTTTTGGTCTTTGATGATGGTGACCTACAGATGGGGTTTTGGTGTGGACGTCCTTTTTGTTGATGTGGATGCTTTTCCTTTCTGTTTGTTAGTTTTCTTTCTAACAATCGGGTCCCTTAGCTGCAGGTCTTTTGGAGTTTGCTGAAAGTCCACTCCAGACCCTCAAACAGGGATTTCTTGGTGTCACCTGTTCTCTCCCAGGTATTTAAATCCAGAGAGAGATGTATATATGCTTTCTGCCCATTTGTTGTTAGTATGTTTGCTAGTATTTGTGCAAGAAAAGAAATTGGAAAAATAAACATATTATATCAAAATATTGGAAAAATGGGGCCCTTAATACACAAGCTGTGTGTCTGCGCTGCCTCAAGAGCTCTGTTCACTTGAATGCCACGTGCAAAATTCAACCCAATTTATGCAAAGTAGTTGAAACCCTGTGTTAGTTCTCTGTGCTGGAAGTCATGACAGTAGTTTACAGGGAGAGTCTGGGTGCCCTGCGTTGGCTCATCTGTGGCAAATATACTGAGCACGTGCTGCCCATTTTTGCTCTGTCCCCAGAGCAGTCACCCTCCACCCTCCATTTAGAAGGATAGTTTTATCTCTCTTGAAGGAAAAATGCCTTTGGTTTCTGTGACCACTCCATTCTCTCTCCCATCAGATCATCTGGGGGGTTTTGTTGTCTAATCTCTGTTGGTTAAATCTTCTGTCATCTCTGTCCTGCCTGGCTCATCAGGAATCTGTAGGAGTCTGAAGAGGAGGAAGCCCCCTAGGAGTCCTGGGATGAAGGTTATTCGACTCTCTCAATTACTCCTGACATGTCTGCCTTGTACCAGTCTTACAAGACCACCTTTCACTCATTAGAGGAACAGCAAGTCAGCTTTGGCTGTTGACATAGGCAGTGAGTACTCCATTGTGAAGGTGATAAAGCTCCAGTTCATGTCCCAGGTGGACCCCATAATCTTTGGGCCTTGTGCCCCTGGTTGGGCTGAGAGTTGCCATCACTGTGGGCTGAACCTATATGTCAGTGTAGATTTCAATCACTCTGGAGTTGAGTCTGAAGCACAGGCATGGGGTGGGTCAGTGAGCTTTGCTCTCTTCCTAGTCTCAGGCCATGCCCTTGCCACCCTTGACCGACTCTCAGGGCATTGAACTCAAGGCAAGTGTGGCAAACTCACACCAAGCTCTGCAGCACATGCCTAGGAGTTGTCTGTCAGATCAGCTCATCTGAATTAAATATCTCTTGCCAGCTATAAAGTTCCTTATGAGTTTCGTTCCCCAAGCATGTCTGTGTGGTTCTCTACCTGCCCAAGGTCAGTGTCACCCTTGTCTACCTCTCAGTGGAAGATGTGACCCAGGTTTCACTGAATTTATCCCCATTTTCTGTGTCTTCTCAGTTGGCTTGTTTTAGCTCAGCTGTCCATCGTCTTGCTGGTATGTTTTCTAGATAAATGACTGACTTTTCACCCACAAAACCATAATAGCTGATGCTTCTGTGTAGAACCAAGTTCATTTTGACTCAAAAGCTGGTACATTGCACCCCTTCATCAAATCTCAGTGTCCCCAATCTCGTAAACTATCAAATCCTGGGTATTTGATGAGAGAAGCCTGAATATTGCAGTAGCTCTTCTACGAGGTGTTAGAACTATTTGCCTACAATCTATTGGGAAAGACATTGCTCATTTGTACACAAACCTAGGACAGAGCACATTGGAAGATAACGTTCCAAAACGGGAATTTTGCCCAAGGCTCATGAAAGGAACCAAGTCAGTTCTCTCAAGACTTGACCTCAGGCCTCCTGGTATATTACTCTCAAAGTCTCCTGTTCTCACACTGAGAAGACTGATGTCCCTGTGTTAGGATTGGACAGAGGAATGTTTCTGTGTGCAAGGAAGAACTGCTTCATGTAAGAGGCCCCATCTGAATTTATTTGCAGGACATCGGTGTGATCAAGTGAAAAAGGAGGACCAAGAGGACACAGGTCCCAGGTGAGTCTGAGAAATTGTGGACTGTTAATTTGATGTTGACACCTGGAGATGCCAAGTCCAGGGAAAACAGTACATGCTGAAAATAAAGATTTCATCTTGTCAGACAAGTCTGAATTATGCCTACTAACAATGCTTTTGGTTCTCATTACAGTAAATGTTTAAGTTTCCATTTCTTCCTACCCTTATCATTTGCTAACCTAGTGAAGGTTGACCATACCTCAAAAGCTGTATTCTCATGGTGACTGCCGGGAAACTTGAGCACATTTTATGCGAAATTATTGAGCCCACTCTTTTCATGATCACTGTTCAGTGTGTGTCCTGACGGCACAAATACAGAGTGTCCTTGACTCCCTCATCAGTGTGTCACCTGGCCGATTCACTGAGCTCTCTCTCTCTCTTTCTCTCTCTCTCTCATTCTGTGTGTGTGTGTGTGTGTGTGTGTGTGTCCTTCTCTTTCATCCTTTTCTACCTGGCCCTGGTCTATCACAACATAAAGGCAATAATTTGTAACCTCATTGATGACTCTATCCTTTTTCTTTTCTGTTTTTTTTTTTTTTTTTTTTTTTTTTGTTATACTTTAAGTTCTAGGGTACATGTGCACAATGTGCAGGTTTGTTACGTATATATATACATGTGCCATGTTGGTATGCTGCACCCATTAAATGATCATTTACATTAGGTATATCTCCTAATGCTATCCCTCCCCCTACCCGCTCCCCACAATAGGACCTGCTGTGTGATGTTCCCCTTCCTGTGTCTAAGTGATCTCATTGTTCAATTCCCACCTATGAGTGAGAACATGCGGTATTTGGTTTTCTGTTCTTGTGATAGTTTGCTGAGAATGACGGTTTCCAGCTGCATCCGTGTCCCTACAAAGGACACAAACTCATCTTTTTTTATGGCTGCATAGTATTCCATGGTGTATATGTGCCACATTTTCTTAATCCAATCTGTCACTGATGGACGTTTGGGTTGATTCCAAGTCTTTGCTATTGTGAATGGTGCGGCAATAAACATACATGTGCATGTGTCTTTATAGCAGCATGACTTATAATCCTTTGGGTATATACCCAGTAGTGGGATGGCTGGGTCAAATGGTATTTCTACTTCTAGATCCGTGAGGAATCACCACACTGTTTTCCACAATGGCTGAACTAGTTTACAGTCCCACCAACAGTGTAAAAGTGTTCCTATTTCTCCACATCCTCTCCAGCACTTGTTGTTTCCTGACATTTTAATGATTGCCATTCTAACTGGTGTGAGATGGTATCTCATTGTGGTTTTGATTTGCATTTCTCTGATGGCGAGTGATGATGAGCATTTTTTCATGTGTCTGTTGGCTGTATGTCTTCTTTTGAGAAGTATCTGTTCATATCCTTTGCCCACTTTTTGATGGGGTTGTTTGTTTTTTTCTTGTAAATTTGTTTGAGTTCTTTGTAGATTCTGGATATTAGCCGTTTGTCAGATGAGTAGATTGCAAAAATGTTCTCCCATTCTGTAGGTCGCCTGTTCACTCTGATGGTAGTCTCTTTTGCTGTGCAGAAGCTCTTGAGTTTAATTAGATCCCATTTGTCAATTTTGGCTTTTGTTGCCATTGCTTTTGGTGTTTTAGACATGAAGTCCTTGCTCATGCCTATGTCCTGAATGGTATTACCTAGGTTTTTTTCTAGGGTTTTTATGGTATTAGGTCTAACATTTAAGTCTCCATCTTGAATTAATCCATCTTGAATTAATTTTCATATAAGGAGTAAGGAAAAGATCCAGTTTCAGCTTTCTATTTATGGCTAGCCAATTTTCCCAGCACCATTTATTAAATAGGGAATCCTTTCCCCATTTCTTGTTTTTGTCAGGTTTGTCAAAGATCAGATGGCTGTAGATGTGTGGTATTATTTCTGAGGGCTCTATTCTGTTCCATTGGTCTATATCTCTGTTTTGGTACCAGTACCATGCTGTTTTGGTTACTGTAGCCTTGTAGTATAGTTTGAAGTCAGGTAGCGTGATGCCTCCAGCTTTGTTCTTTTGACTTAGGATTGTCTTGGCAATGCGGGCTCTTTTTTGGTTCTATATGAACTTTAAAGCAGTTTTTTCCAATTCTGTGAAGAAAGTCATTGGTAGCTTAATGGGGATGGCATTGAATCTATAAATTACCTTGGGCAGTATGGCCATTTTCATGATACTGATTCTTCCTATCCATGAGCATGGTATGTTCTTCCATTTGTTTGTGTCCTCTTTTATTTCCCTGAGCAGTGGTTTGTAGTTCTCCTTGAAGAGAACTTTGGGGTGGAGAGTTCTGTAGATATCTATTAGTTCTGCTTGCTGCAGAGTTGAGTTCAATTCCTGGATATCCTTGTTAACTTTCTGTCTCGTTGCTCTGTCTAATGTTGACAGTGGGGTGTTAAAGTCTCCCATTATTATTGTATGGGAGTCTAAGTCTCTTTTTATGTCTCTAAGGACATGCTTTATGAATCTGGGTGCTCCTGTATTGGGTGCATATGTATTTAGGATAGTTAGCTCTTCCTGTTGAATTGATCCCTTTACCATTATGTAATGGCCTTCTTTGTCTCTTTTGATCTTTGATGGTTTAAAGTCTGTTTTATCAGAGACTAGGATTGCAACCCCTGCTTTTTTTTGTTCTCCATTTGCTTGTTAGATCTTCCTCTATCCCTTTATTTTGAGCCTATGTGTGTCTCTGCATGTGAGATGGGTCTCCTGAATACAGCAAACTGATGGGAGATGACTCTGTATCCAGTTTGCCAGTCTGTGTCTTTTAATTGGACCATTTAGTCCATTTACATTTAAGGTTAATATTGTTATGTGTGAACTTGATCCTGACATTATGATATTAGCTGGTTATTTTGCTCATTAGTTGATACGGTTTCTTCCTAGCATCGATGGACTTTACATTTTGGCATGTTTTTGCAATGGCTGGTACCGGTTGTTCCTTTCCATGTTTAGTGCTTCCTTCAGGGTCTCTTGTAAGGCAAGCCTGGTGGTGACAAAATCTCTAAGCATTTGCTTATCTGTAAAGGATTTTATTTCTCCTTCACTTATGAAGCATCGTTTGGCTGGATATGAAATTCTGGGTTGAAAATTCTTTTCTATAAGAATGTTGAATATTGGCCCCCACTCTCTTCTGGCTTGTAGAGTTTCTGACGAGAGATCTGCTGTTAGTCTGATGGGCTTCCCTTTGTGGGTAACCCGACCTTTCTCTCTGGCTGCCCTTAACATTTTTTCCTTCATTTCAACTTTGGTGAATCTGACAATGATGTGTCTTGGGGTTGCTCTTCTCGAGGAGTATCTTTGTAGTGTTCTCTGTATTTCCTGAATTTGAATGTTGGCCTGCTTTACTAGGTTGGGGAAGTTCTCCTGGGTGATATCCTGCAGAGTGTTTTCCAACTTGGTTCCATTTTCCCCGTCACTTTCAGGCACACCAATCAGACATACATTTGGTCTTTTCACATAATCCCATATTTCTTGGAGGCTTTGTTCATTTCTTTTTACTCTTTTTTCTCTATACTTCTCTTCTTCATTTCATTCATTTGATCTTCAATCGCTGATACTCTTTCTTCCAGGTGATTGAATCAGTTACTGAAGCTTGTGCATTTGTCATATAGTTCTTGTGTTATGGTTTTCATCTCTATCAGTTCTTTTAAGGACTTCTCTACGTTGGTTATTCTAGTTAGCCATTCATCAAATCTTTTTCAAGGTTTTTAGTTTCTTTGCGCTGGTTACATAATTACATAGTTCCTCCTTTAGCTCTGAGAAGTTTGATCGACTGAAGCCTTCTTCTCTCAACTCGTCAAAGTCATTCTCCATCCAGCTTTGTTCTGTTGCTGGCGATGAGCTGCGTTCCTTTGGAGGGGGAGATGCGCTCTAATTTTTTGAATTTCCAGCTTTTCTGCACTGCTTTTCCCCCATCTTTGTGGTTTTATCTGCCTTTGGTTTTTGATGATGGTGAAGTACTGATGGGGTTTTGGTGTGGGTGTCCTTTCTATTTGTTAGTTTTCCTTCTAACAGTCAGGACCCTCAGCTGCAGGTCTGTTGGAGTTTGCTTGAGGTCCACTGCAGACCCTGTTTGCCTGGGTATCAGCAGCAGAGGCTGCAGAAGATAGAATATTGCTGCACAGCGAGTGTTGCTGTCTGATTCTTGCTCTGGAAGCTTTGTCTCAGGGGTGTACCCTGCCGTGTGAGGTGTGAGGTGTCAGTTTGCACTTAGTGGGGGATGTCTCCCAGTCAGGCTACTCAGGGGTCAGGGACCCACTTGAGCAGGCAGTCTGTCCTTTCTCAGACCCTCAACCTCTGTGCTGGGAGATCCACTGCTCTCTTCAAAGCTGTCAGACCGGGGCATTTACCTCTGCCAAGGTTTCTGCTGCTTTTTGTTTAGCTATGCCCTGTGCCCAGAGGTGGAGTCTACAGATGCAGGCAGGCCTCCTTGAGCTGTGGTGGGCTTCACCCAATTTGAGCTTCCCAGTGGCTTTGTTTACCTACTTAAGCCTCAGCAATGGAGGGCACCCCTCCCCCAGCCTCGCTGCTGCTTTGCAGTTAGATCTCAGACTGCTGTGCTAGCAATGAGGGAGGCTCTGTGGGCATGGGACCCTCCGGACCAGGTGTGGGATATAATCTCCTGGTGTGCCATTTGCTAAGACCCTTGTAAAGTGCAGTATTAGGGTGGGAGTTGCCCGATTTTCCAGGTGTTGTCTGTCTCAATTTCCTTTGGCTAGGAAAAGGAATTCCCTTCCCCCTTGCACTTCCCAGGTGAGGTGATGCCTCACCCGCTTCAGCTCTCACTGGTCGGGCTGTACCTGCGGACCAGCACCAACTGTCCAACATGCACCAGTGAGATGAATGTGGTACCTCAGTTGAAAATGCAGAAATCACCCGTCTTCTGTGTTGCTCACACTGGGAGCTGGAGACTGGAGCTGTTCCTATTCAGCCATCTTGGGTGTGCCTCTCCTTTTTCTTTTTTAACCACTTTCAAATGCTACCCATGAAATTCAGTTGAGGCTCTGTTGTGTCTGATTTCCTCTGGCTTATTCTTTACTTTTTCTACTTTTCTGGTCTCAGCAGGGAGCTACTGGAGGTAGTAGATCCTGAAGTCTTGCAGGACTCACTGGATAGATGTTATTCATCTCCTTCCAGTTATCTTGAACTGCCTGACTCCTGCCAACCCTACAGAAATTTCTTTTACTCACTGGAGGAACAACACATTGACTTTTCTCTTGATGTGGATGGTGAGTACCTTTCTATGAAGGTGAAAAGGATCCACTGAGTCTTCCATATAGAGATCATATTCCTGCTCCAAGTGGCCGTTACTGGGCTGAGAGATGTCATTGCTGTAGTGAGGACCTGTAGGCACATGTAGGTTAAACTCTAGTTCTACCTGGAAGCCCAGACATGGGATTGGTCAGTGAGCATGGCTGTCTTCCTAGTCTCAGGCCATGCCTGTGGCACTCTGATTCTACTCTCAAGACATTGGACCTGGGCAGATGTGACAAATTCAGAGAACTATGATTTGACTCAAGGGTTTGTCGATTTCCTTTTTCACTCTAATTTTAGTGTCTAAAATCCTCACAACCATGAACAATCTGAGTATTTGATGTGACAGGGCTAAATATTGCAGTTTTTCTCCTAGAAATCATTTGAGGGCATTTGCTTTAAATTGATTGGAAAAATATGGCATAACCATTTGCACAAACTTGTGACAAATGATATTGGGATAACGATCTACCAGAATAGGGACACTTTACCCACAGTTTCTGGGACAAAAACCAAGGAATCTCTATCATGACCAGCCTTCAGGCCTCCGGAAATATATCTCTCACAGTGTTGTATTCTCATGCTGAGGCGCCTGAGGTCCCTGTGTGAGGATTAGACAGTGGATTGTATGTGTGTAGGGGAATCAGCTTAATGTGTCTGTCCATGTCTGAATTTATTGCAGAAACTGAAAAGTACCAAGAAAGGGAAGAAGATCAAAACCCACCATGCCCCAGGTAACTTTCAGCAATTGTGGATGCTTAGTTCTGTGTTAACACCTGGAGACGACAGATCCAGGGAAAACAGAGTGTGTTTGATTTCATGTTTTCAATGAAGGCTGAATTCCTCCTACTGATATTGCTGTTGGTTTTCATTGCAGTAGACGTTTCGGTTTCCGTTTCTTCCTCCCCTTATCATTTACTAACATACCACAGGTTGACCATACCTCAAAAGCTGTACTCTCATGGTGACTGCATCAAATTTTGAGCACATTTTATGGAAAACTATTGAGCTCATTCTTTTCATGATCACTGTTTGCTGTGTGTCATGAGGGCACCAACTCAGAATGTCCTTTTTCTCCCTTATCAGTGTGTCACCTGGCCAATTCACTGAGCTCGCTTTCTCTCTCTCTCTTTCTCTCTCTGTCTCTGCTTCTTTCTGTCTCTCTGTCTTTCTCTTTCAATGTTTTCTACCTGGCCCTGTTCTATCCCAACATAAAGTCAATAATTGTTTTACCTCATTAATGGATCTATCCTTTTTCTTTTTTAACCACTTCCTCATGTTACCCCTGAAATCTAGTTGGGGCTCTGTGGTGTCTGATTTTCTCTGGCTGTTTCTTTAGTTTTGTCTCCTTTTCCAGGCTGAATGGCATGCTGATGGAAGCGGAAGAGCCTGAAGTCTTGTAGGACTCATTGGATAGATGTTATTTGACTTCTTCAACTTACTTTGAATTACCTGACTCATTCCAGCACTATAGAAGTGCCTTTTACTCATTTGAGGAACAGTACATTAGCTTGACCTTTGACATGGACAATAGGTTTTTTACTTTGACGGTGATAAGGCTCCACCTGATCTTCCAGATGGGAGTCATATTCCCACACTAAGCAGCCCTTACTAAGCTGAGAGATGTCATTGCTGCAGGCAGGACCTATAGGCACATGTAGGCTTGAATGAAACTGTAGTTCCATTTGGAAGCCCAGACATAGGCTGGATCAGTGGGCATGGCCCTATTCCTATTCTCAGACCATGCCAGTGGCAACCTGTGCTCAGTCTGAAGACATCGGACCCAAATTAGGTGTGACACATTCACATAACTGTGCAGCATATGCCGGAAGTGATCTGTCAGACATTCTAATTTGAAAGATATACCGACATCTCTCTAGGTAGCTACAAAGTTCCTCAGGGATTTCATTTTGCCGGCATGTCTCTGAGCTTCTATACCTTCTCAAGGTCAGTGTCATCTTTGTGTTTAGCTCATCCAAAGGTGTTGTCCTGGTTTCAATGAACCTAACCCCATTCTTTCTAACTTCAGTGTTGGCTTGTTTTAGCGGATCCATCTGTAACACAGGAGGGATCCTTGGCTAAGGATTATATTTCAGAACCACTGACTGCTCTTGACAGTTGTTAACCCACTAGGCTCCTTTGGTTGGAGAAGCCACAGTCCTTCAGCCTCCAGTTGACATTGATACTTAGGAAGACCACAGCTAGATGGATAAACAGCATTGAGAGGCCTCAGCCCTGCCCCTCTCAATTCCATCCTGTAGAGAACAGGAGTCAGGAGCTGCTGGCAGGAGACAGCATGTCACCCAGGACTCTGCCGGTACAAAATATGAACAATGCCATGTTCTTGTAGAAAACGCTTAACGTGGGTTTCATAGGAGGTAATCACCAGACAACTGCAGAATGTAGAACACTGAGCAGGACAACTGACCTGTCTCCCTCACACAGTCCATGTCACCATGAATCACACAACAGAAAGGAAAAGAGATATTTTGGGTTCAAAAAAAGTAAAAACATAATGTAGCTACATTTCTTCAGTTATTTTGAACCCAAAGTATCTCCTCATCTTTTTGTTGTTGTCATTGATTGTGGTGACATGGACTTGTTTGTTTTGTCAGCTGTTTGGCTCAATGATCTACATTCTGAAGTTGTCTGAAAATGTCTTCATGATTAAATTCAGCCTAAGCGTTTTGCCAGGAACACTGCAGAGTCAATGCTGTGAGTTTCCAACCTCAGCCCATCTGCAGGCAGAGAAGGTCTAGTTTGTCCATCACCATTATCATGATATCAGGACAGGTTACTTGGTTAAAGAGGGGTCTAGGAGATCTGTCCCTTTTAGAGATACCTTACTTATAATGAAATATTTGGGAAAATGGTTTTTGAAAGTGTAAGTGTCCTGTATTCTAATGATCATCCTCTAAACATTTTATCATTTATTAATCATCCCTGCCTGTGTCTATTATTAGATTCATATCTCTACCTTGGAAATTTTCTGTCTCAATTTTTACTGTGCCTTTGTTTTTGCTGGTTTCTGTTGTTGAAAAAAAAATTCTCTGCCTGAGTTTTAATTTTTGTCCAGAGTTAATTTTAATCTATACAATTAAAAACTTTTGCCTATCGCTCTGGACTGTTGGACTGTTTTTTACATTCAGTGTTGGAATCTTTTATTATGCTGATTGGTTTTCATGGGTACCGATGGGAATTAATAAAAACATTTTCATTTTCCTGTTTATTTTCTAATCTATTCCACGTGGTAGGCTATGTTTACCATATGTAGCAGAATGTATTTACTACATTTCTTGGTTCTAGTTATTTGTATTCTTTGTGAGTTTGTGTGTGTGTGTCTGTGTGTGCCTTTGGCATTTAGGAAGGGTTGTATAGCTCATGATTAATATTACACTAAAAATGTTTTTGATAGTTTTCCCCCCTTTGAACTAGACACACTTCTAATATTTGGTTTATATGTTTTAAATTATAACTTTCAATGTCAAATATTTCCATATGACAGTCAATTACATGTCGTGTTTTCTTTTTCCTACCTGCTTTACCTGCCACTTCTCATAATGGTATTTGAACCTAAACATATACCAGTGACATAATGTGATTGCCAGCTTGCGTCCACCTTGGTTTTTGGTTTAGATCCACAATTAAATATATTAATGCTTATGAGCTATTCAAAAGTGAATGTCACAGTCATCACTTGCTGAGTGGTACTAATCCTTAACAGAGTCCTTATGAGCGAATCAGGTCTTGCTGAGTTTAGCATGTTTAATAATCTTCTCTCATGATCTTGATACATGGATCGCATTACTGGATATGAGGTGCTTGGGTTTTTAGGAGATATTGTCTTCCTTGGGGGACATACATGGTGTGTGTTCTCATTGTGGGATTCTATTTTGTTCTACCAGGACCTCTAATTTCTGCCAGTTACTCCATTCATTTGTTCTCTTCAGCACGAGTCTCCAGAGGATGCTTCTTTTGTCCATGCCTCCCCATCTCCCAGCAATTCTGCGTTTCCAAGATTGGCACCTCTGGTCCTCTGCATGGTGAAGCCCCTTCCTTTCAATTCCCCAGTAGCCAGTGCTCTAATCCACCAGGTCTCAGGCACGATCTGTGTTTCTCCACACTCACTTTCCGAGGGTAGTTTTACCTGTGTTCTGTCATGAACAGCCCCTGCCTGCTGTCCTGGCCTTTATTTGCATAGTGTTTCCTGCTCCCTCTGCTGTGGTGTGGCTCCCAGACCCTGCTAAATAAAATCACCTGAGGACCACGGTGTTCCCTAGCCCTGGTGTTTAGGGGCAGGATTATGGGTGAGATTTTTGATTCTCTAAGATAACCCCTAGGGCTTTGAAGTGTATGTTGAGAAATTCAGTTGTTATCATCCTAGGTGGCCTTGCTCTCTCCTATCCTCCTACTTCAAATGCAGAACTTCAGTTGTGTATAAAAGAAGACTGAATCATATAATAGAACACACCCTTATTCATTGGCTGGCTTCACCAATCATCTCATGGCTGAACTGTTAAAAATACAACCTTAGTCACATACCTATGAAATGTATACATGTGTGTATATATATATATGAATTTGCTTCTGAGATTATGGAGGCTGAAATTCCCAGGATGGAAGGAAAGCTGGATACCCAGGAAAGCATTTGTTTCCCATTAGGCCTCTTAATTCTCTCCTGGCCTTTGATTGATTGTATGAGTCCCACCCCCATTAAGGAGGACAATCTGCTTCACTTAGTCTGCCCATCCCAATGTTACTTGTATCCGAAACACTTTCTGGAACACAACAAGAATCATGTTTGGCCAAATGTCCCGGCGCCCTGGTGCTTGGTCACAGTGACACGTACAAGTAACTATCACACATGCCGTTTGTCATATTTGTGATTTCCACTGTTTTTCTTCCAGTCTGCAGCTTATATCTGTTCTCTTATTACTGTCTTGTGTTGAGCAAAAACTTTTAATTTTTATGAAGTTGAATTTATCAATGTTTTCTTTTATGGTTTGTGTTTATTGATAACAAAGATCACTTTGCCTAACTCTGTATCGTGAAGATTTTGTCTTATATTTTCTGCTATACTTTTTCTAGTTTTATAGTTTAGTTGCATAATCCATTTTGAGTTAGTTTTTGAGTGAGTATTGAGGTTCAGGTGAATTTTTTTCCTTTGGGGATATGCATGTCCAGTTGTTTCTACACAATTTGTTGACAAGAGAATGCCTTTTCCACTGAGTCATATTTGGACGTTTGTCAATCTGTTGGGTGGTTGAGGCTGGTGAGAGGACTGTCCAGGTGTTTGGACAGAGAGACAGGGCATGAAGTAGGGTGGTTCTTATGGTAAAAATTAAGGAAGGCACATCTTTCCATGAGGCATAGGAAAGCCCCCAGCACAATTGGGGTACCCTCTACCAGCATGTTGTAGCACACTCATCTCTGCTCTCTCTTCCTCTCCTGTTGCAAAAGCTTGAGTGTGCATAGACACTGAGGTCGAGTGGTGTCTTTGAGCACTTTTGAGCATTGACACCAAAGCTCCAGCATCAAATCTTAGAATATAAAGCAGCCAGGTGGATCACCTGAGGTCAGGAAGTCATGACCAGCCTGACTAGTGTGGTGAAACCCCGTCTCTACTAAATACAAAAAAATTAGCTGGGCATGGGGGCGTATGCCTGTAATCTGACCAATTGGGAAGCTGAGACAAGAGAATCACTTGTGTACCTGGGCGGCAGAGGTTGCAGTGAGCTGAGATTACACCATTGCACTTCAGCCTGAGAGTGAAACTCCATCCCAAAAAATAAATAAAAAAAATAAAAGAATATCAAGCAGCCAAAGAAACAGGAAAACATGACACATAATGAAGAATCTAATAATCTAGTTGAAATTGACACACATGTAGGAAATAGAAGAAAAGGACGTTAGAACAGTTAGTATAATTGTATTTTAATTAAATGGAGAGATTGAAGATTTTTTAAAATATCAAATTCTGTAGATAAAAACTGATTTATAGTCTGAAATGGAAGAAAGCACTGGATTAAACATTGCAGAAGAGAAAATTATTGAATTAGAGGGAATAGAAGTTGAAACTAACATAAAGGAAACACACAGTAACAAATGACTTGAAAACATAAAAGGACCATCAGCATAAAAACTTTAAACACCCTAGTATAGGACTAAATGGAATCCCTGAAGGGCATGTAGTGGTGAAGAGAGACAAAGATACTTAAAACATACTGGGTGAAAGATTTAGAAGCTCCATGGAAACCATAAACTTCAAATATTACAGAAATATGATTATTCTAAGAACAAGAAACATGAAGAAAACTTCACCAAGGAACACCTTAATCAAATCCATCAAAATGAGTGATCAAAAGGAAATCCTAACAGTAGTAAAAGGGGAAAGAACATGTTACATACAGAGCACTAAATGTAAGGATGGCATAAGATTTCTCATAGGAAACTTTACAAACAAGAAGTTGGCAATAAAATAATTAAAAAAAGAAAAACTGTTGCCTACAATTCTACACCTGGACAAATTATCTTTCAAAAATAAACATGAGGGGGGCGGAGCAAGATGGCCGAATAGGAACAGCTCCAGTCTCCAACTCCCAGCGCGAGCGACACAGAAGACCGGTGATTTCTGCATTTTCAACTGAGGTACTGGGTTCATCTCACTGGGGAGTGCCAGACGATCGGTGCTGGTCAGCTGCTGCAGCCCGACCAGAGCTGAAGCAGAGGCCGAACATTGCCTCACCTGGAAAGCGCAAGGAAGGGAATCCCCTTTTTCTAGCCAAGGGGAACTGAGACACACAACACCTGGAAAAATGGGTCAACTCCCACCCCAAAACTGCGCTTTGTAAGCAAGCAGGCACACCAGGAGATCATATCCACACCTGTGGCGGGAGGGTCCCACACCCAGGAGCCTCCCTCATTGCTAGCACAGCAGTCTGTGATCTACCGGCAGGGCAGCAGCGAGGCTGGGGAGGGGTGCCCGCCATTGCTGAGGAGCTTAAGTAGGTAAACAGCTGCTGGCCAGGAAGCTCGAACTGGGTGGAGCTCACAGCTCAAAGAAAAAGCTCTACTGTCTCTGTAGACCCCACCTCTGGGGACAGGGCACAGTAAACAATAACAAACGCAGCAGCTCTGCAGACGCAAGCGACTCTGTCTGCGGCTTGGCTTTGAAAGAGCAGTGGATCTCCAACACGGAGGCTGAGATCTGAGAAGGACAGACTCCCTGCTAAGTGGGTCCCTGACCCTGAGTATGCTGGAGACATCCCCACTAGGGCAGTCTGACACCCACACCTCACAGGGTGGAGTACACCCCTGAGAGGAAGCTTTCAAAGCAAGAATCAGACAGGTACACTCACTGTTCAGAAATATTCTATCTTCTGCAGCCTCTGCTGCACGATGCAGGCAAACAGGGTCTGGGTGGATCTCAGCAATCTCCTACAGCTACAACCTACAGCTGAGGATCCTGACTGTTAGAAGGAAAGCTGTCAAACAGGAAGGACACCTACACCAAAACCCCATCAGTACATCACCATCATCAAAGACCAGAGGCAGATAAAACTACAAAGATGGGGAAAAAGCAGGGCAGAAAAGCTGGAAATTCAAAATAGAGCGCATCTCCCGGCAAGGGCGCAGCTCATCGCCAACAACGGATCAAAGCTGGACGGAGAATGACTTTGACGACATGAGAGAAGAGGCTTCAGTCCATCAAATTTCTCAGAGCTAAAGGAGGAATTACGTACCCAGCGCAAAGAAACTAAAAATCTTGAAAAAAGTGGAAAATTGTTGGCTAGAGTAATTAATGCGAAGCTCACAGCGAAATGAAAGAGGCGAAAAACCGCAGCACGAGAAATGCGTGACAAATGCACAAACTTCAATGTAACGGCTTCGATCCCAACTGGAAGAAAGAATGTCAGCGATGGAGGATCAAATGAATGAAATGAAGTGAGAAAGAGAAACCAAAAGAAAAAAAGAAGAAAGAAAAAGAAATGAACAAAGCCTGCAAGAAGTATGGGATTATGTAAAAAGACCAAATCTACGTCTGATTAGGGTGCCTGAAGTGAGGGGAAATGGAACCAAGTTGGAAAACGCTCTTACGGGATATCATCAGGGAGAACTTCACAACCTAGTAGGGCATTACAACATTCAAATCCAGGAAATACCAAGCATACAAAGATACTCCTCGAGAAGAGCAACTCCCAAGACACACAATTGCCAGAT